CACATGTCTTTAATCCTGTAATCTGTCAGCCTATTGAAATGGAGATAAGTAGTTATTTTGTTTGGTATCACTGTGCATACCACACTGAACATGAACCAGAGAAAGCAAGAGAGCTGTCGAAGGACATCAGAAAGAAAATAGTAGAGCACCATGTCAAAGATAAAGGTTATAATACCTAAGCAGCCTGAGGTGTGGTTACAGTTGCAAATACATTTAAGCAGTTTAAGATCCATGGAGTATAGCCAACCTCCCAGGACGTGATTGCAAGGGAAAAAGCAACCCCTCAACTGAACAGAAGGATAGTGCGACTAGAATGCAAACAGTTCCAAAAAGATAAAAGCTGAACTCCAAGGTCAAGGTACTATACATCTGTATATGACTGCACCATCCCAAGGTTTTTGACTGACAGCGGGCTCAAAGGAAAATGGAAAATATAAAAACCCTGAAAGAATTTGCTAAAATGCATACTGACAAGCCACACTGAGTCTGGAAAAATGTCCTTTGCACAAAATCTCCAGTTTCGTCTCCTCTGTCCAGTCACATCAGCTATACTGTATGATCACAGACATTTTCAAATAAAAGAACACTACCTACTGTGAAACATGCAGGAGGATTGGATATGTTTAGGGGTGTCTTTGCTACATCTGACACAACGTGTCTAGAGTTCATTGTGCCCTGCACAGATTCAAAAGACTATCAAGGAGTTGCAGGTCATAGATCCTCCAACAGGATAATGACCCAAACCACACAGCTAAAAGCACAGAAGAATGTCGCACTGAAGTGGCCTTCTATGAGCCCTGATAGGAGTCCTTTTGAAAGAGCTAAAACATGCAGCCTTGAGAAGGAACCCTTCAAACCTCTTCTTGAGTAGCTTACTCAAGAAGAGTTGGACAAACTCCCTATTGGCAGGTGCAGAAGCTACAAAATCATCTGATTGCAGAGACTGCCCATAAAGGGAGTGCCAAAAAGTATTAGGGTAAGGGTCTCATCATTTAAAATATTTTTTTAAAAAATAAAAAAAAGAAATCAGACTTTGCTTTTGATTTAACATGGAAAAAACTATATGATGGATGCCAACTAATTTTGTTTGTTTTAAGTTTTTTCAAAGACCAAATTTTGGGTTCTTTTTTCTTGGAAGGGTACCAACAAATTTGTCCAAGTCTGTATCAGAGATAATGGGGTTAAGAATCTTCACTCAAGATTATGTAAATATTCACTTCAATTAGTATGTGAAAAGAAATTTCCTGTTTGCTTTATATACCCAATCATGGTATTTATGGTTGGAACTGGATGGACTTTTGTCTTTTTTCAGCCAGACTATGTAACTATGTGCAGATGAAATAAGTAAACACCAATTTGCTTCTGACATGATTGGATAAAAGATTGTTTACACAATTGAGTAAAGAATTACAAATCCTTTTACGAACATTAATGGACAGAATTAACAAAGAGTTGTGCAAGATCAAGCTGCTCTACTCTTCTAAATTTAGAACACAGAGCAGATGCTGCTCCTAATTAACAAAAGAGGTGTTAATCAGGAGCGATCTGTTTTTTGTTCTGAAAGGCACACCACACAGGACACAGAATGGAGAAGATGGAGATGCATGTTCCAATCTCTCTGCCAGTCCTGCCCCCCTTCCTCCCCAGTTCGGCTCAGAGCAGAGGGAGGAGGAGGCTTGTTAACCCTAAGCACTCTCTGCTCGTGTAGTGTAAGCACTGCACAAGCAGGAGGGATGTGAGCCATCTGATGGCAACTCATATGATAAAGTCACAACTGGTGGGAATCTGCAGCACTTTTCTGTATGGAAAGCAGCCGTATTCCCTTTGTTAACCAGGTGCACGCCGAGGAGGCTTGTTAACCCTAAGCACTCTCTGCTCGTGTAGTGTAAGCACTGCACAAGCAGGAGAGATGTGAGTTATCTGATGGCAACTTATATGACAAAGTCACAAGTGGTGGGAATCTGCAGCACTTTTCTGTATGGAAAGCAGCCGTATTCCCTTTTTAACCAGGAGCACACCAAAGAGGCTTGATAACCCTAAGCACTCTCTGCTCGTGTAGTGTAATCACTGCACAAGCAGGAAGAATGTGAGCTATCTGATGGCAACTCATATGACAAAGTCACAACTGGTGGGAATCTGCAGCATTTTCTGTATGGAAAGCAGCCGTATTCCCTTTGTTAACCAGGTGCACACCGAGGAGACTTGTTAACCCTAAGCACTCTCTGCTCGTGTAGCGTAAGCACTGCACAAGCAGGAGGGATGTGAGTTATCTGATGGCAACTTATATGACAAAGTCACAAGTGGTGGGACTCTTCAGCACTTTTCTGTATGGAAAGCAGCTGTATTCCCTTTGTTAATCAGGTGCACAACCTGTGCTAATTTCTATTTCACTCAGAAATAGAAACTGGTGCAAACAGATCTTGAACAGGTCTATCTGCTCTGTTAATTTGGCGCATGCCACTTCTGACAGCTTCTTGCACTCTGATAATAGTACAGAGAGCTTGGTTATTTCCCCAGAATATGTCATATAATTTAGGGTGTCTTTCCCTGCTGTTAAAGGGAAAGTATAATGTATCTTCTATGAGCACAAATAATTAGTTATTACTGCAGTGTAAAGTCAATTCTGATGAGACTTTTGTTTAATTTGCAGTGGTAGTAAATATTATTTGTTAACTAGGCACTAAATGCAGGGTGGACTAGCTGCTACAATGGCTCCCTAACTGCTTAAAGCGACTGTTGCAGAACAAAATCAGAATAAGAGCTGTCTCTACAAAGGCGAAAAGAAATACTTACTGCTGCCTATACTGCCTAACACCTGTGTTCTTTAGAGAAGGTGGGGTCAGTGGCAGAAACCACAGAGCACCATAGGGGAGATTTCAGGGGATGCATCAGAGTGGTGTGTGGTGGCATGGGCAGTTGGAGAGGTAAATATTTTGTTTCTTCTTTGCAGGGAACCGCTTTTATTATGTAACTGTTGAGGATAGATATTAGCCGCACTTTGTTTTCAATGAGTTGTTCCATTCAGAATTCCATTGTGAGAAGGAGCATTAACTACTTGCTCTCCTGAGGATTTACCCCCTTCCTGACCAGGCCATTTTTTTGCGTTACGGCGCTGCGTTACTTTAACTGACAATTGCGCGGTCATGCAACACTGCACCCAAATTAAATTTGTGTCCTTTTTTCCCACAAATTGAGCTTTCTTTTGGTGATATTTGATCGCTTATTATGTGTTTTTTATTTTTTGCGCTATAGAAAAAAAAAAAAAATTTTTTGAGAAAATAAACAATATTTTTCACTGTTTGCTATTAAATATGTCCAGTAAAAAAAATGTAAAAAAAAAAAAAAATCACATTTCGTCATAAATTTTTAAAATTTTTTACATTTTTACCAGTAATGGCGGCGATCAGTGACTTATAGCGGGACTACGGGAGCATTCTGACACTGGGGTGAACTGACTTGGTATCGCTGACATTCCCAGTGACACCAATACTGTGATCAGTGCAAATAAAAAGGACTTACACTGTACTAATGGCACTGAGCAGAAAGGGGTTAACATCTGGGGCGATCAAAAAGTTAACTGTGTGATGGGTGTGTTTTACTATGGGGCTGTGTCTGTGTGCTTCACTGTAAGCACACTGCTTTGCATGGAGTGTGCAGGAGCTGACAGGGAGGAGAACTGTTTTGTTTACTAACAGTTCTCCCCCCGTCGGAGATCCTCGGCAATCACCAGGCGCCAGCGAGTAATCACTGTCCGGGACCCGGTGATTGACAGCCGCATGCGCCCCCCTACCCGGAATTACAAAATCATGTATATATACATGGTTTTGTGCACCCGTGCCGCCCTGTAGCAGTATATCTGCTACAGGGTGGTCGGAAAGCTGTTAAAGACCAATTACAAATAAAACATGTTTTTAAATTTTGGATAGATTAGGAAAAGTTAGAATCCCTATCAGGTTTTCATTGCGGTTTGTGCCCCCATTAAGATTTCCACTCACTGCCTGTTCTGTCTGACAGGACACAAAGTGAGAGAACAGCTTCACAACAAGGACACAAAATAGCAATGCAAAATGTTTTGGCTTTTAAAGAAAACTTTATTGAGAGAAGTATGGAGGATACCATTGCTGATTTCTCATTCAGACAATGCTTAGCTCTCATGCTGACCATTTTACCTTCACTGACCTGGAATGTGTAAACATGTATGGACTCCTTTCTGCATATGTTTTCTTGTTCTGAGTCAGCAAGTTTGAAAATATTGAAACCAGCATAGCAGCCAGGCAACTAATATTTTCAGAAAGAAGTCAATAATGGCAGGCCCATATTTCTCTTCGGAAAGGTTTACTTTAAAGCGCAAACACGGGTGTATCATTGCGGCGGGCGGGAAGCAGAGTCTACATATATCAAAAGCAAAATGGCTGCTTCCCTTCATACAATTAAAAACCATAGACTAATTTTTTTTTTTACAAAGATAAACCCATACTGGCAAGATTATTTACATCAAGCAAATCTTTTACAGGAGTACCTAAAAGTCATTGAAAAACAATATAGTCCCCTTTAGCCTGCAGTAAGTGTGCAAAAAAATGCTGCTTGTTGTCAGGTTTATCCACTATAAAGTGAACAGGTCCCCTAAAATAACCTCTGGGATGTATTATGTATTTTGTATGTTTCATTAGCTATGTAGTGATGCTTCCCAAATGTAGTTGTACCCTAGCGCAACATCAACCATATTCTGAAACACTATTCTGAGTAGACACTTAGTCAATAGTAGTGGCTCAATGGAAGGAGTATAGTAAAAATACAATAAATATATAAATAATAAAAACAAAAAAAACTATTCATCACAGTTCTGTTAAAGTACTTAAGTGATGTGATTTGAGTGCAGGTGCAATGTGCATCTTTGCAAACCAGATGGCTGGCTAAGAAAGCATAAAAATATTTTCACATTAACATTTAGAGAAGACTTTCCTGTAAACAATTTCAAGTTTAGGATATTCTAGTAGTGTTTAAATTTTGTAATTTTTCTTCAAGACCTCCAGATACTGCTGTCTTGCTTGGGAAACAAGGTCCTGGTCATTGCTTAGGTTTCTCATGGAACCAGCTGTTGAACCCACAGGAGAGACTCTGGCACATCCGGTATCCAGCTCTGCATTGGCTTCAAACACAAAGAGAATTATTAAGGTACAATCCTTTGGGGAAAATACTACTTAGAATAACAATTGACAGCAGTTAATTTTAAAGTCAAATTTCAATTTAGTTTTAGTCAGTCTTTTGACTAAAATGCCATTTTTGTTTTAGTCGGATTTTAGTCATCTGAATTGTTTTTAATTTTAGTCGACTAGAATCTCCATTACATTCCAGTAATCTCCAGGCAGCAGGCACAGAGGGAGCCTGTGTCTCTCAGCCAATACAGCTTGCCGAGAGATAGGGGGCTAGAGCTTTAACAGACGAGCTGCGAGGAAAGCAGAATTTCAGGTGGGTAAATGTCCGTCTTTCACATTTTCGTTCGTTGGTGAAAACTGGAACTGATTTTCTTCATAGCTTTTGCCAATTGACTTAATTCTAATTTTATTTTTGTTTAGTTTTCATCACTGAAAATATGCAGCTGACAAAACCTATGACGAAAATATTTTCATCAAGGATATTAACACTGATTGGCAAGTGAATAAATCCTAATATTAAGTTCTGATTTACCTTTTTCTGAATGTTGTGCTGCTGCTTTGATTCAAAAAGTTCCAGTCATCAGAGCAGCAGCTTTAAAAGTATTCACTGTGCTGACCTCACCCTCCCTATAGGACTCCCTATCCCTCCCTATATCCCTCCTACAATGGAAGTGCACCAGGGCAGGGGATCATCTTCATTATAACACAAGTTTCCTAACTGGAAGTTTTCCTTCTATCCCTTTATATACTAACTTTCTTTGATTAAAATTTAATAAAATGATTTCTTGCAATATCCAAACTCCCTATGTTATTCCATTCTGGATTATTCCTGACTAGATTTCATGGGATGATAACAGTTAATGCTTCATGTATTTACCAACATATGCAACTTGTGCATCTGACTGGTTAAGCTACGATAAAAGTTACCAATCTCATTAGCATGCTCTAGTAGTAGTGTGTGATGTTCTGTCTTCAAGTGTCTATGAAGGATTTAAACATTTTTTTCGACACAGCAACTAATAATCTGTTTTAAAAAAATGGGTTGTTGTACCTTGGTCCAATTCTTTAGTGATGTTCTTTTCCAGCTCCTGCTGCATCTGGAATACATATATGCACTGCTGGTGAGCATCAACAACCTAACGCACACCGTATGCACAACTATAAAACAAGGTTTACATTCATCGCACAAAGGTCAGTTCAAATGCACCCTTTTGTTAAAAGGGGTTTATATTTGCCAAATAACTGCACAGATCTGTTTGCATGCGTCACTTTTGTCTGTAGGGCTTCAAATCGACCTCCTGCCTTTTTTTTTTTCTTGTTTTGGATAGCAAAGGGGATGGTTAGAACATCTCATCAACCAGTTGCCCTCCACCCTATAGCAGAAATACTGCTACAGGGCGGCAGCGCTGCGCAAAATCACGTATATATACACATGATTTTGCATTTCCGGGCAGGGGGTATGCGTGACACCACCCTACCTGTGCCGCAAATGACGGCTACAGATGTTGATCACCGGGTTCCGGCTGGAGAATCCCCGCCGGCATCCTGCAATCACCGAGAAACCGGGGAGAGATCTGTGTGTAAACAACACAGGTCTCTCTCCTGTCAGCAGTAACATGCTGCACAGCAGAGAAATACACATCAGTATATTTCCCAAGTAAAATACACACAGCCCACACAATAAAACAGCACACAGTTAACCCTTTGATCGCTCCATAGGTTAACCCCTTCCTGCTCAGTGTCGTTAGTACAGTGTCAGTGCTTTTTAGTAGCACTGATCACTGTATTACTGTCATTGGGATGTTAGTGGCAGTTCCCCCTAGTGTCAGAATGCCCGCCGCAGTCCCTCTATAAAAGTCGCTGATCGCCATCATGTAGCAGAATACATTTTGGCCTAAATTTATGATGAAATTTGATTTTTTTTAATTTTCTTACTGGATATGTTTTATAGCAAAGTCAAAAATATTGTTTTTTTTTTCAAAAATTATCAGTCTTTTTTTGTTTATAGCACAAAAAAATTAAACACGCAGAGGTGATCAAATAGAAATGAAAGAAAGCTCTATTTGTGGGAAAAAGTTAAAGTAACGCAGCACCGTAACGCAAAAAATGGCCTGGTCAGGAAGGGGGGTAAATCCTCTGGAGAGGAAGTGGTTAATGAAACAGACAATAGTAAGGTAATAAGGTAACATACATTGAAGACTAAGTATGCAGCTCAGCGTGTGCACAGAATCTTTTCCATGCTGGTGACCTTCAGGGTAATTATTTACAATTGCTCTGTTTTTTTGCAAAGCCAAATTCTGCTAATATATATTAGATAAGCACTGTGGCTTTTTGAAAAATAACATGCCTATAATGCATTCAAATGGGAAGCAAATGACCCCCATTATCTGAAAACCAATAGGGCTATTAGGTGTCCTTTGGAAACTAAAGAAAGGACAGACATGCAGGCACAATCCGATCACTACAGGTATATTGCCCCTCTGTGAGGCAAGCATTCCTGTTTATGTCTATGGAGTTAGCAGGGGGTGGAAATAGGAGTATGGGGCAGGCAGATGGTGCTAGCGCAGCTTATCTCAGGACAAAGGGCTGCCAAGAGGTTTCTGTTTCACCCTAGTGAGTGATGGCAGGAGATAATCACCCAATCTGGCTGTAATTAGAAATCCTCTCCTCCAGTACAAGCATGGGGTTTATATTTCAATTTTGATGGTGTCTTTAGGTTTGGTACAGTCATGTCAAAACTGCTGTCAGCATTAATACCTCTTTTGGTTGATACCAATCTGCATGACTTCAAATTAGTCATTACTTCAGTCATCACTTCAAATTAGGATCAAATGAGAGCAGTAAATCTGTCAAGCACAATGTAACAAAATAATAAATGCAACTAACCTTTACAAAGTAAGCTCCCATTTCATTAGCAGTAAAACCACTCCCAACTGGATTGAGAAAACCTCCTCCAAGTCCCAGACTTCGGTTCAGAGCTGGATTACTGCCAAGACCTCCAAGTGAACTTGCATCCAAAAGAGGGCTTCCATTAAGACTTCCGTTCAGAAAACTGCTTGCAAATAAGGATTTGCTCCTTTGCCGTTCATTAAGTAGCTTGGAATTGGCTTCTGAAAGCCTTTCATTTGCTCTGTAAAAATATTATATTATACTTTTTTCTTTTTCTTGCACAAGTGGTCAAACACAGCTCATATAATTGTAGTTCTAGTTATGCAAGGTAATAAATGTTACTCACCTTCCTACAGCAAGGATAACAATTACAGTGAGCTTTCATATGTTTGTTAAAGTGATATTAAAAACAAAAAAAATATAACAAACATGTTATACTTGGCTGCTCTGTGCAGTGGTTTTGCACAGAGCAGCCCCAATCCTCCTCTTCTCAGATCCCTTGCCGGTGCTCCTGGGCCCTCCCTCCTACCAAGTGCCCCCCAGGCAAGCAGCTTGCTTTGGGGGACCTGGACAGGCTTGCTCCCAAGCCACTGCGCTGTCTATTCACACACAGAGCATGGCGCAGCCCCACCCCCCGCTCTCTCCTCATTGGTTCACTGGCTATAACTGACAGTAGCAGGTGCCAATGAGGAAGAAGAGACCCAGGAGAGACGTTGCTCTTGCGCACATTGCTGGATCGAGATGGGGCTCCGGTTAGTATTTGGGGGGGGGGGTGTACTATCAGTGCAGTTAGTTTTCTCACATCTGGTCTTACTGTATCTGAGATCTCTGTTCTAAAACAGCAATACAGAATGTATTTCCTTCTCCGATATCTCAACGGTTGCTCACCTTTCTAGCTTTGAAGCCAATGATTTTCTAGTCTTCTGCTCTTCAGCATACAAGTCTTTGATCCTATTAAGCTCTGTGAGAGTGGAATCTTTCTGGCTCATATTTTCTTCCTGTATATTCTTAATTTTGTTTAACTCAGATTCAAGATCTTGAATTCTATGTTCCAGCTGATTCTTGACTGTAACATCATTTTCAGATCTCAACTGTTCTAATTTGTCTTTTGATGCAGCTTGTGCCTGAAAAAAAATTAACAGTTACCACCTGTGTCCATCTACTAATTTTCCAATAAATGCTCTGTGGGAAGATACTGCTTCGGAGTAACTACGACATGTATATTGTAAGATTACTCACACTGCACAGTTAACTTAAAATATGCTTAAAGGAAAAGCTTTTCTTTTTTAAATTTTGGATTTAAGGTAGAGGGATTAGAACACTTGTCAGGTTTTTATTGCTGTTTGTGCCCTTGTTAGAGAGATTCACCCTCGATCCAGCCTGTTACTGTTCTTACTGAAAGAAAGAAAATTCCAATTTTTGGGTTGTCACCAGAACATGAATAGAAGTGTAAACTTCCAATATGGACACTAGTTCTGGTGACCCTGACAAAGTGAAGGGAAATATCCCGGGTGGCAAAAAAAATAAAAAAATGACAGGGTTTATAAAATGTCCCTTACTTTTACTAAAATGAAAATAACATTTTGCCATTAGTTTGACTTTAAATAAAGCAAGATCAATTTGGTTTACATTTCTCAATAAGAAAAAACTATTGTTATTTGCCATTTATTTCCCCCTTCCTCTGTCATTTGTCTTGTTTCTGCAGACCTAGAAACTATTTTAGATGTCTGCATTGTGGCATGTTGGCAAATCTTCAGTCCCCTGAACAATGTGAGCGGCTAAAACTGGACCAGTGTTCTGCTTCAGCTATAGCAACAGATGAGGCAATTCAAATCCCAGAATCTATACAAATTTTCACATTGTAGAAAGTGTCATAAAACCCCTAAAAACGTAGTGTACCTCTCTAGTAAACAAACAAACAGCTTAAAGAGAACAAATTAGTATGTAACTATAAACTGCTATAAGTGTTTTTAAAAGGTATACCTGTAGGAACATATTGACCTCCTCCAGCTTTTGTCGTAATTCTTGCCTGCTCCTTTCATCAATTTCTCTTTTATATTGCTCCATGTAACTTTGATCATCTTGCTTGAACCAATGTGCCTTTTGAGCTCAAACACTTCATCTTCCAATTGCCTCTTGCTTCTCTCTAATCGTTCGTGATTCTTGTGCGAAGTCTTCATTGAAGATAACTGTTCATGCAAGTCACGATTTGAGGCCTCTAATTGAATGTATTTGTGGGATTCTTTTTCCAAATATGAGGATAGTTCTTCAATCTGGACAAAGCATTAGAAAACAATAAACCTTAATAAACACAAGGTGGCTAACTGCTGAAACTAGAGTGAGACTAAAGCCGGCCATAGACAGAGCGATTCCCCCATACAGCCATTGTGTTCCCACAGCGGAGGGGTGGGGGGGAGCCTTCCCGCCGGAAGAACACAGTGATTACTGTTAGTAGCTATAATAGCTACTGGCAATAATAACATGTAAAATCAGACAAGCTGGCTGTACTCAAGTTAATCAATCGGTCAACTTGGATGCATTCAGCCTATTTGTACATGGTTCGAATCTCGGCCGGTCCCTGCTGAACCGGCTGAGATTCGATCCGTCTATGGCTGGCTTTAAAGTAGAGAGTTAGTGAAAAGCAAGATTTCATTCCCAATATGCCCTAAGAAATGAGAGGTTCTGTTGGTGTGGTCCCACTGAGCAGAAAATATACCTTAAAGCCTATTAGCTTACTGTACATGCTAGAGGTAAAACTGGTACAAATATAATGTAAAAGGGCTCTGACAATCATAGACAACTTAATGTTTAATTGTATACTTTGTGAATATGATCCATTACCTTATCTCTGCAGTTTTTCTTCAAAACTCTGTTCATTTTACACTGTCCAGCAATGGTTCACAAGATCAGTAGCTACAGGACTGCATCCAACATCGAAGTTATTGCATCACCCATTGTGCCACACTCCAATCACTCTCCCAGAGAATATCCACTGATGTTAATGGCTACGGATGTTGTGAGCACTGCCTGCAGCATTTGCATCAGCACAATGTGATTTTGTGTCCAGCTAAAGACCCCATTAAAACCCCGTGTTTGGGATGAAAGGGTGTAGATCATAGGTGACTGAAATCATTACCTTTTCCTTTAGTTTTAGCACTTCGCTGTCTGTTTCATGGTTTCTTCTGTAGGATCCTTCCTTCATACTAACTGGCTGTTTTTCACCATTTTCAAACTCCTTCAACTTTTTCTTTGTAGTCTTTAAATGTTTCTTCAATCTAATGGGAAAATAGTTTCAAGGTGCAAATAAATAGGCAGATAAGTAAACAAACAAACAAACACAATGTGATAAAACGATATGAAGTAACTGTAACTGTCTTATGAGTGGACCCTATGCTTCTGCGTAGCACAACCAGACCCTCTGTGACAACATTGTTCCTTCCTGAATCTACTTATCGGAGATTTGCTTTGTTGCTCCACCTTTTGCAGCTGTGAGTGGCTCTAGCCATGGCAAATGTTTTACAGATCAACTCCAATAAACAAAACAAAAAAAAAAAAGCACTTTATGACCTAAATACACCGTCACTAGAAAAACTAAAGGGCCCGTTCACCCAAAATTTAGATTTCAGTTCAAACCACTAGACTTCATCTTTAACATAATTTCTGGCTGAGGTGAAACATTACTTTTACATAGGCTTAGCATAAGTAGATACATACAGTCAGGTCCATAAATATTGGGACATCAACACAATTCTAACATTTTTGGCTCTATACACCACCACAATGGATTTGAAATGAAACGAACAAGATGTGCTTTAACTGCAGACTGTCAGCTTTAATTTGAGGGTATTTACATCCAAATCAGGTGAACGGTGTAGGAATTACAACAGTTTGCATATGTGCCTCCCACTTGTTAAGGGACCAAAAGTAATGGGACAATTGGCTTCTCAGCTGTTCCATGGCCAGGTGTGTGTTATTCCCTCATTATCCCAATTACAATGAGCAGATCAAAGGTCCAGAGTTCATTTCAAGTGTGCTCTTTGCATTTGGAATCTGTTGCTGTCAACTCTCAAGATTATTCCGTCAACGCTGCCCCCGCCTATCCAAAGAGCTGTCACTATCAGTGAAGCAAGCCATCATTAGGCTGAAAAAACAAAACAAACCCATCAGAGAGATAGCAAAAACATTAGGCATGGCCAAAACAACTGTTTGGAACATTCTTAAAAAGAAGGAACGCACCGGTGAGCTCAGCAACACCAAAAGACCCGGAAGACCACGGAAAACAACTGTGGTGGATGACGGAAGAATTCTTTCCCTGGTGAAGAAAAACACCCTTCACAACAGTTGGCCAGATCAAGAACACTCTCCAGGAGGTAGGTGTATGTGTGTCAAAGTCAACAATCAAGAGAAGACTTCACCAGAGTGAATACAGAGGGTTCACCACAAGATGTAAACCATTGGTGAGCCTCACAAACCGGAAGGCTAGATTAGAGTTTGCCAAACGACATCTAAAAAAGCCTTCACAGTTCTGGAACAACATCCTATGGACTGATGAGACCAAGATCAACTTGTACCAGAGTGATGGGAAGAGAAGAGTATGGAGAAGGAAAGGAACTACTCATGATCCTAAGCATGCCACCTCATCAGTGAAGCATGGTGGTGGTAGTGTCATGGCGTGGGCATGTATGGCTGCCAATGGAACTGCTTCTCTTGTATTTATTGATGATGTGACTGCTGACAAAAGCAGCAGGATGAATTCTGAAGTGTTTCGGGCAATATTATCTGCTCATATTCAGCCAAATGCTTCACAACTCATTGGACGCCGCTTCACAGTGCAGATGGACAATGACCCAAAGCATACTGCAAAAGCAAGCAAAGAGTTTTTTAAGGGAAAGAAGTGGAATGTTATGCAATGGCCAAGCCAATCACCTGACCTGAATCTGATTGAGCATGCATTTCACTTGCTGAAGACAAAACTGAAGGGAAAATGCCCCAAGAACAAGCAGGAACTGAAGACAGTTGCAGTAGAGGCCTGGCAGAGCATCACCAGGGATGAAACCCAGCGTCTGGTGATGTCTATGCGTTCCAGACTTCAGGCTTTAATTGACCGCAAAGGATTTGTAACCAAGTATTAAAAAAGTGAAAGTTTGATTTATGATTATTATTCTGTCCCATTACTTTTGGTCCCTTAAGAAGTGGGAGGCACATATGCAAACTGTTGTAATTCCTACACCGTTCACCTGATTTGGATGTAAATACCCTCAAATTAAAGCTGACAGTCTGCAGTTAAAGCACGTCTTGTTCATTTCATTTCAAATCCATTGTGGTGGTGTATAGAGCCAAAAATGTTAGAATTGTGTCGATGTCCCAATATTTATGGACCTGACTGTATATCTCAATATCAGCACCCTGTAATCCTCTAGACAGAAGCTGGCCATAGATGGATCAAATCTTGGCTGGTTCAGCAGGGACCGTTGTAGATTCAATCCATCTATGGGCAGGCTGATTGCACTGACATTGATCCATTGATGAACTTCAGTACAACCAGACTGTCGGATTTTTTTCATGCAATCGCCAGCAGAATATAGCACTGTGGGAGGGACTGACTGACTGTGTTAATGGGGTATCAAGCAATTTTCTTTCCTATCACATGTGGTGGAAGGAAAGAAAACTGCATAATTTATGGGAAGCAAAGGGATATCCCCTCACAGACAGATATTCTCAGTTAGATCTTGAGGCCTAATGCAGGTTGAGCATTTGCCCAGCTCCATTGAACATCTTTTCTGCTGGCAGGAGAAAATCTGCTTAAAAACGCAGTAAAAGCCAAGCATTGGGCGTGTGTATGCGCATTGATGCATTCTTACTGGCCAGAATATTATTTATCCTGCATTTTTTCTGCCCAAAAGCTCCTCTCCTAAACACGCTGGCGTTTTTTTTTTTTTTTCACCTGTAAATGCTCCTCTCCTAATACGCCTGTGAACACTTACGGGTGCATGGACACAAAGGCTAACATAGGGTTGTGTTTACAGGCAGGAAAAAAGCCAAAATGTCTGTAAAAGCTGCATTATTAAGCTCAGTGCGCATGAGGTCTAAGCAGCGTAGAAGGCATGATACTTTTAAGCAGCTCTCCCAATTGAGGTGGCCGAAGGTCAGCTATTTACTTGAGCAGGGACTGGGTTTGCATGTGAAGCTCTGATAAAATTTTTATCAGATTCTTAAATTGTAATAATAATATTTCTTAGGATATATGCCTATGAATAAAATGAATTTTAGATTTTATACATTCTTTTGGAGCTTTCATAATTGCACACCCAGCAGAGAAAACCTGAGGTTCCAACTCTTCCTTAATGTATCCAAAACTAAAAAAGGTTTTGGCTTTATACTATGCTCAAAAAAATTTAAAATGAACACTTTTTAATCAGAGTATAGCATGAAGTCAGTTATCTGACCAGATCAATATCCTGGGAGTTTAAGTAGCAGAGGGGGTTGTCAGTTTCAGCTGCTTTGGTGTTAATGAAATTAACAACAGGTGCACTAGATGGGCAACAATGAGACGACCCCTAAAACAAGAATGATTTTAAAGGTGGAGGCCACCGACATGTTTATCCTACTCCTCTTTCCTGACTGTTTTTTTTCACTAGTTTTGCATTTGGCTAGGGTCAGTGTCACTACTGGTAGCATGAGGCGATACCTGGACCCTACAGAAGTTGCACAGGCAGTCCAACTCCTCCTGGATGGCACATCAATACATGCCATTGCCAGAGGTTTTGCTGAGTCTCCCCGCACAGTCTCAAGAGCATGGAGGAGATTCCAGGAGACAGGCAGTTACCCTAGGAGAGCTAGACAGGGCCGTAGAAGGTCCTAACAGGTATCTGCTCCTTTGTGCACGAAGGTACAGGATGAGCACTGCCAGAGTCCTACAAAATTACCTCCAGCAGGCCACTGGTGTGAATGTCTCTGACCAAACAATCAGAAACAGACTACATGAGGGTGGCCTGAGGGCCCAATGTCCTCTAGTGGGTCCTGTGCTCACTGCCCGGCACCATAGAGCTTGATTGGCATTTGCCACTGAACACCAGAATTGGCAGGTCCGCCACTGGCGCCCTGTGCTTTTCACAGATGAGAGTAGGTTCACCCAGAGCACATGTGACAGATGTAAAAGGGTCTGGAGAAGCCGTGGAGAACGTTATGCTGTCTGTAACATCATTCAGCATGACCATTTTGGTGGTGGGTCAGTGGTGGTCTGGGGAGGGATATCCATGGAGGGAAGCACAGACCTCTACAGGCTAGACAATGGCACCCTGACTGCCATTAGTCATCGGAATGAAATCCTTGGACCCATTGTCAGACCCTATGCTGGTGCAGTGGGTCCTGGGTTCCTCATGGTGCAAGACAATGCCTCATGTGGCGAGAGTATGCAGACAGTTCCTGGAGGATTAAGGATTTAATACCATTGAATGGACCTCATGCTCACCTGACCTAAATCCAATAGAACACCTCTCGGATATCATGTTTCGGTCCATCTGACGCAGCCAGGTTGCACCTCAGACTGTACAGGAGCTCAATGATGCTCTGGTCCAGATCTGGGAGGAAATACCCCAGGACACCATCTGTTGTCTCATTAGGAGCATGCCCCGACGTTGTCAGGCATGCATACAAGCACGTGGGGGCCATACAAAACTACCATTTTGAGTTGCTGCAATGAAATTTCAGCAAACTGGACTAGCCCGCTGCAGCATTTTTTCACTTAGATTTTTTGGGGTGTCTTTGAATTCAGTCCTCTGTAGGTTGATAATTTTCATTTCCATCAAACAATGGGGCACCCTTATGTTCCTAACACATTACCCAGTCCATATCAGTAGAGATATCCAGCATGATATTTTTCCCCATTGAAATCTGATGTGTTTTCAAAGTGTTCCTTTAACTTTTTTGAGCAGTGTATTTCGTAAGTCTGCAGTGGATGTCTAGGATCTGGCTCTGCTGTTTGACAGGGTTGCTCAAAGCACAAGTCTGGTTAAATATAACTGCATATTCTTTGGCAGATAAAGCTGTTCACGTATATATGTTGTTGGCATTGAGTGCAGCCATCAGTGAACAGCAACTCTTTTTTAGAATTCTCATGGCGGGGTACAAGGAGGGCCAGTGTCTTTGTAAGTATACTACTGCTGCAAGGGAGTGTAAAGAATTCCTAGAGTGTTTATGGTGAATTTGGAAAAGGGAATCCCAACTCTTAGTATAGCAGTGCCTGTGTTGTGATCATTTCAACTTAGTGAATGTATTGATCATCACTAGTCTATATTTGATTTACTGCATCATCCTTAACAGAGATTGGTAAAAAGATCTCAGTATACCCAGATACATCACGCTGTAAGTCATTGTTCCTCTTTATTTCTTGATCAAAGCGTTCCTCCATAGACTTCTTCTGATCCAACAATTTCCTTACTTTCTTTTTTTCATTTTCAACCTTTAACAATAAACAGAAGGGAATAACAAAGCAACATGAATAATAATCTCCTAAAGTAAATACCCATTACTACCTCGTTAGTATACAATGAGAAATTTCAAGAATTTTCCATGAAAACAAGTTTATTACCAGTTAACAGCTCTAGAACTCTGGAAAAGGTAACTAAAGCAAAAATATTCTTTAGCTAAAATAGGATGTAACCTACCTGTTCAACTAAATCTCCATTTGATCGATCAAGTTCTGCCAAGCGAACTCCTAACCGTGATCGTGACTTCAGCTCTTCTTCCCACAAATTATGAGAGTCTTGAGCGCTTTGTGACAGCACTGTTTGCTTATGCACCTAGATCAATGAATAAATACATCAGAAAAGTGTCTCATTTAGCAAAATTATAATATTATTTATTTCAGGTACTTATATAGCGCCGTCAATTTACGCAGCGCTTTATATATATATTATACATTCACATCAGTCCCTAACCCTCAAGGGGTGTACAATCTAAGGTCCCTAGCTTACATTCATACATACACATACTAGGGACAAATTTAGACAGGATCCAATTAACCTACCAGCATGTCTTTGGAGTGTGGGAGGAAACCAGAGTACCCGGAGGAAACCCACGCAGGCACAGGGAGGACATGCAAACTCCAGGCAGGAGTTGCCGTGGCTGGGATTCGAACCAACGACCCTAGTACTGCCAGGCAGAAGTATTAACCATTTAGCCATAGAAAACAAATTTTTTTAACTTATTTTAAGTGTGCATAGTGCGCTATAGAATTGTATTAGTCGTGCAACCTAAAAAACAAAACCTACACATAATACAAAACTGTAGCCATCATTCTAAAAGGAGAAGTACATCCAAAGCTTTTTAGGGAGATCACAGGAGTGCAGTTCGTTCTGTGACCTGTTTTCAGCCAACAGCAGGCTAAAGTCTGCTGTCGGTTGATCTCACAGAGCCGGTCAAGGCTCTGAAAAGATCCCGACCATATGGGATCCACCCAGAAGCCTGGACCGGCACCTGGCTCAATCACTCAGCGATCCATTGAGAGCATAAGCCAAAAACTCCTTTACTCTCCACAGCTCGGCCCTTCTCAGTCTTACAGCACGTGGGGGACAGATGCAGCATTGGATCAATGCTGCATCCACCTAGGTGAGTATAATTTTTTTTCTTTTTACTTACCCCATGCAAATTTTAACATGTGTGAAAAATTAAAAAAGTGCCCAGGGTTTGAAGTAGTTAAGCCAACAAATAGTTGGACAAGAACACATACTGATATCCTGTCCCATTGTTTTCTTGTGTGGAAAGAACAGCCCACTATTGCAATGCAGTAAAAGAGCACATTTTTGCTAATAAACTACATTATCTATAATAGTGTATATCAAAGTTCTGCACAGAGCTCTACTCACTTGCCGGTTCAACTTCTCTTCCAAACCAATTTTTGATGTTTGCAAACCAGTTACTAAATCTTCTAGCCGATTCCGAATCTGTGAAACATATGTGAGCACATCAGGAGTATAAATATGCATCTACAAATATATAGTGACATTTTCTAAAATAGAGTTTTCCTAAGAAAAGGAAACTATTTTGTACAATATTAACCTATTGAAAGTGTTCTAGTATGCCAAACGTACACAGGGAATTGGGAGCTAAAATGTCTTATCCCCTAAAAAAGCAATGTTCCTAGAAATGTGCTAGCTATTGTTGCAGCTGTGGATTGCTTCCAATGTTATCTAACATCTGATCTGTGAGTTACTTACAGAAATGGATTCCTGCAGTTCTTTCTGAAGTGTCTCAATCTGTACAGACTGCTGTTTTGCAGTTGCTTCAATCTTGGCATTTTCAATTTCAAGCCTGGAAAAAAATAACCATACTGTGTGAAGAGGGATGAATTGGCCCTGTGAGAGATTTTCCAGCAACTCTCTAGGTATAATAATGGTCACTCTAGAATGTGAGAAGCATTTCTTATTATTCTCTAAAGATACAGCATTGTCTTCTTATGACAGAATGTATTTACACATCCTCACTTCCAGCACACAACACAAAAAACAAAGGAGCTCAGTCTCTGTTTATGGGTAAGTGGGCAGTTTCAAGGAAATCATTAATTTCTTCCCCTTTCAGCCATCAGTACATCCAGAATTGGCGGTGTATGGTAGGGCTGCACCGATACCAATGACGATACTTAGCATTTGCACGAGTACTGGTACTCGAGCAAATGCTCCAATACTAAAAATGGATACATTCAGGTTGGGTTCTTTCAGCTGTCAGTTGAAATGTAAACAATAGAATGCCAGCAATTATCGGTTGTTAAGGAGGGGCAGCCACGCCCTCAACAGCTGATGACATTTCAGCTGGCAGCGAGATTCCTCTACGACAGCTGAAATGTAATAAAAAGAATGCCACAATAGTTATCCTCGATCCTCTGCTAGCTCCTCTCCTATGTGAGGCAGAGAACACTGTAAAATCCTGTGTACACAAAATTCAGAAAGATCAGCCCGCACCTCCCACGCTCTCTGCTCCCCTCTGTGCTCTTGCAGGTAAGTCCTCCAATTTTAGGATGCTCAGCTTTCTGTTTTGTGGGTGAGAGGAGCAGAGAGTGGGAGAGGTTCTGGCTGAGCTCTCTGCAGTGCTCTATGCCTCACATTGCACAGGAGCTAAACAGGATTGAGGATTGCTCAGAGTAGCTGGGAGGAGAGAGCACAACCCATACCCCCCCCCCTGGCTGGCTCCCCCTTTCTGCTGCTGTCACTACTGCAGGGACAGAATTCGTCCTAGGAAAAGGGGAGATTGGGGGGGGGGGGGGTGCTAGGGGGGGAAAGGGGGGGGGGGGGGATTTAGGGAGGTTGTGCTAGGAGGGTGGATTTGGGGGGGATATATGCTGGGAGGGTGATTTGGGTGGGGGCAGTTATGCTAGTTGTGGTAGGAGGGGGGTTACAACCTACAGACAACTGAACTCTGTCTCGCAGAGTACATTTTAGGGCTTGCTCACACCAAATGTAGTGCAGTAACATATGCAAAATCACATGTTTTCCCGTATCACACAAACACTCCAACTCCCTAACTCCCCTCCCCACCTTCCAAACCACCCTTCTAACTATTCTTCATAGGTGTTAAGAATAGGTAATTGGTATCGGTATCAGAGTACTTTAAAAAAAAGTATCGGTACTCGTACTCGGTGTTAAAGAAAAAAAAATTTAAAATATGGTATCGGTGCATCCCTGTATGGCACAATATAGCCATTTTACAGAGCCAGTATTAGTAACTTGTATACAGCTGTTTTAGACTTCTTAGCACTCAACAGTGCAAAATATGGCTTTACTGGCACTATGGGATGGGGCTTTGAGTCCAAGCAAACAGTACAATCATTAGGATTAGGGTGAGCTGGTACAAAAGAAAAAAAAATCCCAGCTCCAAGGTACTGTGAAACGTAGGATTGCCTTTTTATAACAGGAGGTGGCCCCTAGGGAAGCTCAACAAGGCCTGATCCTTGCCACCCAATCATTGCACATTGGAAAAGAATCAGGTAGTTTATAGTCATACTAAAAAAGCAAGATTACGGTCAAAGAATTTTTGAAAACATCCTTCCAAAGGCACTTTGAGAAAGGAAAAAAAAATATTGGTTAACATATCATTCGTTTCAGTGAACAATTGTCAAATGTGGAGTTCGTCCCATTTTGGGGAAATTTCCCTGACTTCTTGTCATACCTCCAGGTCAGGTAGTAAAGAGCAATCTCCCCAACTGTGACACAGTCAGACAGAAGTGCTAAAGTTGGTTATACACTGGGCACAAGGGACCAGACCAATTTTGATCAGTGTGTGTCTGTCCTTACTCAACAGATGTTGATCATTTGATTGACTTCTGTCGACAGGACTTATTGGAAACACTTCCTCAAAATAGTGGCTGCAGCCACTGATCAGTGTATTATGCTGCTGTTAGAATACAATATCCCAGCAGAGTGGCAGGGATTCCTCCATCCATCCCAAGAAGAAAAAAAAAACCCACAAAAACAACTAAGTGTATGGCCAGCTTTAATCTTTGCATACTTTTTTAATAATACATTGCAACAAACTAAAACATCCTTAAACATTGATAAAAGTAATTACAGGAAAAATGGAAAGCTTACTTCTGTATGTGTTCCTCCAGTTGTTTGACTGACTTCTCACTGCCAGCTGTTGCAGATGAAAGCTCCTGCACTTTTTGGAATGCTGCCATCACTTCCCTCTCCTTATCATCTAATAAATTTTTCAACTGATGGTTACGTCTCTCTGACTGAAGAAACTGTTCTTCTAGATCCTGTATCTACAGAAAATAACACACAATAAAAGGATCATGAAATCCATACATTCATGTTATCATTGTCTGGTTAAAACATAACAATAGAGCTTTTATATACCTTTGTTCTGAACTTTTCAAGTTCTTTGTGAAGGTGCTGTTTCTCTTCTTCTAGGTCATTCCGATAACGTGTTATAACTTCAAGTGATGCCTCAGACATTGATAGCTTCTTCAAAGCATCTGCAAGCTCCTGTTGTAGCTGTCTTATAGAACTCTGGAAGTGTGAAAAATATATCCAGCTTACATGAAGAGCATGTGTTCAAGAACAAGAAAGTTCTCAACAAGAATGAAAGATTTCACATTCGCCAATTAGATTAAACTTTCAGGAAAGGTGTGTGAAATATAAAGGCTAAAGCCTGCTATTGGTTGATGTCACTCAGCCTGTCTAGACTTTGGAGTCAAGATCCACCCAGACGCCTGGACCGGCAGCTGGCTCAGCCTCTCTTTGAGCCACTGAGAGCCTAAGCCAGCACCTCCCACCCCCTCCACAACCTGTTGCTCCAGTAAGAGCTGGGAGGGGTAGAGTAGAGAGCCAGGAACTGACAGCACCAGCTCTCTGCTCACTAAAGACTGAGAAATGAGCAATCAATGGTCTTTGATCACCAAGCTCTCAGTCTTAGAAGCAGCAGGAGACAGATGCAGCATTGGATTGATGAGTTTAACTGTGTTTTGTTTTTTTTTTAAACCTATTCTTTTTTAAATTGCAGAAGAGAAATGTGAGGTTACCAACTTGATTCTGCTGTCTGGCAGGGCTATGTAAACATCAGGATTGGGTGGACAGAAATACAAATCATTTTGCAGGTAAGCAGCATCCATGTGTTTTAACTGTGTATTTAGCCATTTTTGTCTGAAGTTCAGCTTTAAGGTAAATACATAATAAAGTATAGTATAAACTACATTGTGTGCACAATCATTATGTAAGTGAGAATTTTGACCAAATCATAATTTTTCTGCATTTTGTCCAATTTTAAGCTGTATAAACTTGAAAGCTTATTGGATTTAAGCATATCAGGTGATGTGTATTTGTGTTAAGGGAGGATGTGGCCTAAAAAGATCAACACCCTATATCAAGGTGTGCATAATTATTAGGCAGCTTCTTTTCCTCAGCCAAAATGGGCCAAAAAAGATTTTACTGACCCTGAGAAGTCAAAAATTGTAAAAAGTCTTTCAGAGGGAAGCAGCACTCTTGAAATTGCTAAGATATTGGGGCGTGATCATAGAACAATCAAATGTTTTATGGCAAATAGTCAACAGAAGAAGAATCAAACGTGAAGCTACCAGGACCCATTATCCTCCAGTGGGGTCATATTCCAGAACTGCAACCAACCTGGAGTGCCCAAAAGTACAAGGTGTTCAGTGCTCAGAGACATGGCCAAGGTAAGGAAGGTTGAAACCCGACCACCACTGAACAAGACACATAGGTTGAAATGTCAAGACTGGGCCAAGAAATATCTGAAAACAGATTTTTCAAAGGTTTTATGGACCGATGAAATGAGCGTGACTCTTGATGGACCATATGGATGGGCCCGTGACTGCAACAGTATTGGGCACAGAGCTCCACTTCAACTCAGATGCCAGCAAGGTGGAGTATTGGTATGGGCTGGTATTATTAAAGATGAGCTATTTGGACCTTATCAGGTTGAAAATGGACTCAAAATCAACTCCCAAACCTACTGCCAGTTTTTAGAAAACACTTTCGTCAAGCAGTGGTATAAGAAAAAGTCTGCATCCTTCAAGAAGGCCATGAAATTTATGCAGGACAATGCTCCATTGCATGTGCTGAAGTACTGCACTGCATGGCTAGCCAGTAAAGGCCTTAAAGATGAAAGAATTATGACACGGCCCCCTTCCTCACCTGACCTAAACCCTATTGAGAATTTATGGGCCCTTCTTAAACAGATTTACGGTGAAGGAAAACAGTACACCTCTCTGAACAGTGTCTGGAAGGCACTGTTGCTGCTGCACAAAAAGATGATAGTCAACAGATCAAGAAACTGACAGACTCCATGAATGGAAGGATTATGACCGTTATTAAAAAGAAGGGTGGCTATATAGGTCACTGATTTTTTTTTTTTAATGTCAGAAATGTTTATTTGTAAGTTTTGAGTTGTTTGTTTATTATTCTCACTTTAACAGATGAAAATAAACGTGAGATGGGAAAAATGAAAATTTTTCATTTAGTTGCATAATAATTGTGCACACTAATAGTTGCCCAATAACTGTCCACACATAGATATTCTGCCAAGAAATCCAAAACCTCACTTTTACTTTCTTAAATATGCAGGCTTGAGGTTTATTAACATTTTCGATTGACCGAGAGCACTGTAGTTGTTCAGTAATGAAATGAATCCTCAAAAATACTACTTGCCTAATAATTGTGCACACAGTGGGGTTTATTTACTAAAGGCACATAGGCTGTGCAACGCAAGTGCACTTGCTCTAAATCTGAAGGGAACATGCAAGGAAAATAAAAAACACTTGAAGTGCACAGCCTATTTGCCTTTAGTAAATCAACCCCAGTGTATATATTTAACACAACTATCCATGCTGACAGCTGCTTTTGGATTAATATAGTCAAAGCATAAATAGTATTATTGCATAAATGCTTACCTCCCGCTCAACTTTTTCAGTTTCCAGCCTATAAACTTGTTCTCTAAGCTCATTAGACTTATTGATCAAGTCCTTGTTTCTCTCTTCAACTATCTGAACTTGTCTTTCAGTGTCAGCTCGCAGCTTGCTGAATATATCTGTAAATCTGTCTTGTACATCACTGACAGCTTTTTCCTTGATAATGCCTTTATTCTGTGTTTCTTCTAGCTGTTGTCGGAGCTGCATGTTCTCACTAGTAATCTGGGACAGTCTCTCCTGCATTGTCTCTTGTTTTATACTGCTTTTGTTGGTCTGGTCTTTTTCTATTTGAACTGATCGTTCAAGGTCCTTTATTCTGCTCTGTGCTTCTTTCACGTCCCTCTGAGAACTCTCTAAGAGGAGAGTTTTCTCTTGTAGAGATAAGCCAGTTCTATGAAGGTCATTTTCGAGACTGTTTGATTTAGCCTCAGCTCTGCTAAGCTGTTGGGACAAGTTATTGTGGCTTTCACGCAGGCTTGAGAGATCATGATTGAATTTGTCTTTGGATCGTAACCAGTCATCACGCTCTCTTTGCAAAGTGCGGTCTGCATCAGTTTTTGAAATCTGGCTTCTTTCTAGATCTTGTAGAGCAGAGCTCAGCCGGGAACGGACTGACTCTAGTTCAGTATCCAGTCTTTCTTTGCCCTGCTTTTCATGCTCTAACTTTGAACATAGCAGGTTTGTCTCTGCTTTTAGGGCATTAAGCTGTCCATTGCATTGGATTACAGTTTGGGTTAAAGTTTCCTCGTTTACTTTAAGATCTTTCCTTAGATCATCAATCTTTTCCGTCAAGGCTTCCTTTTCATCCAAATATCTACTCTCTTCTTCTTGATACCGGGACCGTACTTGCTCCTGCTCTTGTTTAAGCACAAGGATTTCCTCTTCTAGTGTTGTGTTTTTCTGGGTTAATTCTTTCACCTTTACATTGGTCTCAGAGGGTTCTCCTTGCACCTGCTAATAAATGAACAATTAATTAGTTTGGCTAGCCAGATTTTATGTCCTGCAAACCAGAAAATAGAGGCTGTCTATTTGCAATTTATTATATCACAGTAGTGACTGCCCTTAAAGCAATGTAAATGGCCAGACGATAATGTAGGAGATAATGTAGGAATACCCTTGTAATGCGATCACTGAAATTTGTTTTACTGTTACCAAATAGAGCCAAAGAAAGCCCAATAGGAGGTTACGTCCCTGAAGAAGCCCAAGTCGATTGGGCAAAACATGTAGGACAAGTTATAGTGGAGTTCCAGTGAAAATGTAAAAAAAATAAAAGCTGTAGCTGCTGACTTTAAAAAAAAAAAAAAAAAGCAGCTCACCTGTTCCTTGGACCCTGCAGTGTCCCCCCCACAGCCTGTTTCACTGGCCGTCCTGTGTTCCCGGCGCCGACATCTTCAGTGTGGGCACCCGGCTAGGTGCCCACTGCACATGCGCGTGTAGTGCTGTGCTTTCCGAATGGTCCCGTAATCTTCTAGGACCTGTAACGTGTCCTCAAAGGCTACAGGGAGGGAGGGGAACAACTTCTGTTTCCGATCGCCGCCCTAGGCGATCGCAATTGAAGTGGGTACCTGTCAATTTCAGGTACCCGTTCCCCCTTAGCTCCCCAAAGGTGCCAATCCTTAAGCAGGGGACCAGTCCTCAAAGCGGAAATTCCTTTTGGGTGGACCTCCGCTTTAAGGTAGTATATTAATGAGAACAGTGATCACTGATTGATTAAAATTCATCTAATAGTCGTGAACCTGTAAGTGGGTGGGAAGTAGGAGGGTACATGATGCAGGGTGTGCGCTAATGAGGTCAGCTGGTCAATTCCTTCCTGAGTCATGACCTAAAGTCTCTGACGGAAATAAGGCAGAAGTAATGGAAAAGCTTCTTTGTATAGTCATCTGGACACTGACATTAAGGTGGATGGAAAAAATATAAAGCTTTTGAATTTCTGCAAAATAAGTACATTAATGCTATACTGGTACATAGAGTTTTGCACAAAGCAGCCCAATTCTCCTCTTCTCGGGTCCCCCACCGGTGCTCCCATAGGAAGTCTCCTGCTATGGGGCACTCGTGCAGACTTGCTCCCAACCCATGTGTGTCCTCTGAAACAAAAGGTGTGGTCCCCACTCCCTCCTCACTGGCTGTGATTGACAGCTGCAGGGGCCAATGGCTCTCGCTGCTGTCTCTGAGCCAGTGAGGAAGGAGAGAGCAAAGAGAGCCTCTGCTCTCATGCACATCGCTGGATCAAGATTGGACTCAGGTAAGTCTAAGGGGGGATGGGGGTGGTGAGAGATTCATGCAGAAAATGTTTAACCTTAATGCACAGAATGCATTAAGTTAAAAAAAACCTTCTACCCTTAGATTCACTTTAGGAATAGATTCCTAAGCAATGGGACATCTTTAAGCAATACTAAACAGCCAAAACCAAAGCCCAAAACCCCAAATGAAAGAAAACCAAGAGTCAATGGACCCAAACAGACAGTTGGCAGCAGAAGCAACTTGCAAATAAAGCAAGTGGCTCTGAGACTTTTGACGAGGGCATAGGTTTATTGCTGTAAAAAGCCCAAGAACCCTGACATGTTTGGGAGAATGGGATCAGGTAGGGAAGGAGTGACTTGTTCCCTGAGGGACAAAGCCCAGAAAAAAAAAAAAAAAAATAATAAGGGAGGGGGGAATCCCATAGGGGGAAGACAAGGTAGATAGCCATAGATAACAGTCCTTACCCCACCCATTTGACTCATAAAAGTTTGCCGTACTTTCAAGGCAGGACATGAGGAGAGGGAACGACATGTGCACAGAAGGCAATAAGAAGCACCTCAGGCAAGCAAGAAGGACTAGCCTCCAGTATACTTTATCCCCTGGCTCCCCAGGAAGAAAACAAGGTGCCAAGGCAGCACTGCAGCTAGCAAGGGCAACAAAGAAAGAAAGCTCCGATCTTACAGAGGCTTTTTAACCACAAGCCTACAGTGCACCTATACCCCCTTCCTGCCCAGGCCAATTTCCAGCTTTCAGCGCTGTCACACTTTGAATGACAATTGCGCGGTCATGCTACACTGTACCCGTATGACATTTTTATCATTTTTTTTGTGACAGATAGAGCTTTATATAGGTGGTATTTAATCACATCTGGGTTTTTTTATTTTTTTTTTAAACCAAAAACCACTGAAAATTAAAAAAAAAAAAGTTTTTTCTTAGTTTTTGTTATAAAATTTTGTAAAAATAAGTGATTTTTCTCCTTCACTGATGTGCGCTAATGAGGCTGCAGTGATGGGCACTGATAGGCTGCACTGATGGACACTGATAGGTGGCACTGATGGGCACTGATGAGGAGGCACTGGTAGGTGGCACTGATGGGTGGCACTGATTGGCGGCACTGATAGGTGGCACTGATTGGCATTGATAGGTGGCACTGACGGGTGACACCGAAAGGCAGCTCAGATGGGCACTGATATGTGGCATTGATGTGCACTGGTAGGCACTGATATGTGGCACTGATGGGCACTGGCACGAGGCACTGATGGGCACTGACACAAGGCATTGATGGACACTGATCATCAGTGCCCTGATGATCAGTGTACATGTCCCCTCTGTGGAAAGCAGATTACCGGCAGATCTTTCCGCTACACCGGCTCTCCTCTCGAGCTGTCAGCGTGACAGCTCAAGAGGAGAGAAATGCGCTCCCTGAGCCGCGCATGCACGGTGAGAATGGGAGGACGTCATATGATGGCCTCCCAGAACGAGAGAACCATCTTGTGTCCCTCATATTACTATATGGCGTGCGGGAGGTGGTTAAGGGAAGAAGTCCCTTGAGCACAAAAGGGGCTTTGTGTAGGCAAAAGCACCTGAGAGAGGTCCCAGAGGGGTACAGAAAGTTGCAACAGGTAACAACTTCTTGCAGAAAAGAGTATGCATAAGCAGTGCAAAAGCCAAGCTAAGAATACGATATAGAAGACCTAACCAAGACCTGTAGGGTACCAAAGGCTAGGTGTTTCATGAGAATGAGAAATTGGAACAATTTCTAGGATGGGGTTTCCCATCGTCACACTAGGTGAGAACTAACTCACCTAGAAATTGCATAGTATGGTAGGAGTGATATGCATGCCCCAAGGAAACAGGGGTTGGAATGTGCCTAACTGGTGAATATCAAGGAATCAGAGATGCTGGGAGATTTCTGGGTGATAGTCTGTACAGAAGTCACATAACTGAAGATGTTTTGTGAAAGAGGCAGGCAAGTGTCAGGGAACCTACTGACTATATGTGAAGGGAAAACAAACAAGGAAAGTACTGAATACAGGGGCAATGTGACCCTTAACAGTATTAAACTGTATATGGAGTCAACTGGTACCAAAGACTAAATATTTTATGAGCAGAATGATCTCATGAAACAGTCAACCTAATCATCCTTAACTCTGATTACTGAGAAGAAGGGTGTATCCAAAATCAGGGCAAAGTCTGAAGGTCCGGGTAGTGGAGCTAACCTCCCTGTGTAGTGAGAGGTAGAGTTCCAGCCACACTGAGAGGAGAAAACTGGGTACTGGCTTTCCTGAAGGTGTCTGACAGTATAACCTGAGAAAAATTCTCATGGAAGGCAACTAAACGTTGCCAATGAGAGCATGTTCATGAGCATGGGGTCAGCAATAGTCAAAATGTTGTGCTGGAGGAAATATGAATAACAGTGCTGTCAGTATTAGACCTAGAAACCCCAGGCAGTACAAGGTTAGTATCAACTGAAGGAATAGGTTTGTGTAGCAGTGTTTGGGTATATGGTTCAAGACTGGACTCTGAAGCCGATATCCAAGATTCCCTGTGACATGGATATTCAGGATGTAATTAATGGCCCAATGGTATAGCACTAGAGTGTTGTGACATAATGAGGCATGAATAGATGGGCTGTATAACCCATCATGTTGCATTTGCTATTACGTTAGAAAATCTATTAGAGATAGTGGCAGGTCTATGGAAGACCAGGAAGAAACCTAGCTGCTGCAGTAGACATAAGGATACATGGACAGGAGACTACCTAGAAGTCTATTTACTGCAGAAACTGGAATAGTTGTTTTAAGGACATAATGGGACCTGTTTCCCTAAGCGTACAGGGGTACCTGTGTAGGATTTTGAAAAGTCCTTGTAATTCTCTCTAAAAGGTAAGGAAATGACTACCCCTTGTGACTGTAAGCTGCCAGAAGGTGTTAGGTTTGGAAAACCTGTCTGCTTTTGTGAAGTAGCAAGTAGGAATGGGTAGTAGAAAGGAACAGAGAGAGGACAGCAATAGAAATACTTCATGTACCTCTTAACATGGAGTGAAATCTGATGTCTCTGTTCTAAGCTGGAGGAAATGTCAGTAGACATCCACCAGGGGTGGAGAAGAACCTTAAATTGGAAAAAGGCATCTAAACTGGTCCAGTGGGCTTGGTGGTGGAGAGTCTGCCATGAAAGGACCTGTGATAGATGAGACCTAGAGGGGGCGAACAGGACATACACACAGGACAGAAGACACCCATTTAATAGGAAAGAAAGATTGCAGATAGTGGGGTAGAAACCCCCTTCCCTTAGTAGCTGTACAGCTTAGCAGTAGCTTAGTACATTGAAGTATTCCTCAAGAGAAATGCCAAAGAGAAGATCACATTTAAAGGGAAAAGGCACCTCTAATGAAGCCCAGTCTGTGGACCAACCTTTAGCACATGAAATTCTGCACATATGCACAGAAAGTAAGGATGATGTTCTGGAGATTTGACAAATCACACTTTCAAAAGACATCTACACAGAATAGTAGGGGTGAGGGTGGGAGTTGTAGTCTTGCAGCAAGTATAGAATTACCTATATGAGAAGGCAGTTCACTATCAGAGCTCTACATTCCGGTTTGCCATAATCTGGGCAATTGACAAGGTGCCAAAACTCGGTTGCAGGAGCAACACAGGACTTCAAAAGAGTCTCCAAAAGCCATTAAGCTGAATCCCTAAAGGAGGAAATGCCTTCAATAGAAACAGTAAATTGATTAATTGATTGTTTAGAGCAAGAATGGCAAGAGTTTACAATAGGAACAGTGCATTTCTGCTGAAATTTCACTTCCATAGGGCAACTGAAGGCATCAACAATTATCAGGAGAGAATAACCTCTTGGAATTGGAACAATCATCATGTCCCAATCGGCTAGATCAAGAATAGGGAAAAGCTTTGTAGGAACAGCCTTCCCTTTTTTACACGTAGCATATGTAAGGAGGTGTGCAGCACTAGGTGTGTCTATCCATAGATTAGAAAACACTGCCTTAATTAATTGGTCCACAGTAGCTAGTAAATGTTGAGAAGATGAAGTAGTAACTTTAGGAAATTCTGACAGTGAAAAAACTTCAGCAACTTCCGCTAAACTGTCAGGATCTTCATTGCCTACTGCAGATAGAAGTGCCCCAGGCAGTTCAGGGTGTAACGCATGAAAATAGGGTAAGGAGAGGCAGAAGAGCATTTATGGCTATTAGCACCTGCCAATTCCAGAGGTAGCGACTGCCGCTATGTCTGATCTGTTCTGAAGGATGAGACTTCTGCTTTGGTTAGACAGTCCCCATGTTTGCATGTCTGAGGGAGCCCGAATCAGGGGGCTGGAGCAGTGTCAGTGTTAGACCCTGCTCTGGAACAAAGAAACTGCTTTCAACCCGAGAGGTACTTGGGAGTTTCCGCAAGGCTTACAGTGGAATTCCTGATGTTTTTCCTTTGTGCTCCTGCTCCCAAGCTCCTGTAATCTGCTACTGGCTGCAGGGTACTTAAAGAATGGATGCGGACTGGGGTGGGGTTCAACTTCCCCCATATGAAGGAATCACAAAAATGCAGGTGCTAACCAAGTTCCTATGACTGTGTCTCTGAGGTATCACACAACAGCTGAAATAGGAAATGATCAGCTTGGCCTGTTAGCAGAAAATGGCGGACAGAAGTGTGTAGTTAGGTGTTAGCAGTTTGAGCACTAAGTCACTAGCCAGAGAAAAAACTTCTGGTAGTGAGGTGGAATAAAAGACCGTTAATTTTAAATAGGTAAATGTTATTTTTTCCCTTAACCTGTGCCTCCAAAACTGCGTGTGTGTTTAGCATCACAGTAAGATGAAAGGATATAATTTAGTGTGTACTACAGATCCAAGTAATGATCCAACAAGACATGCATAGCCAGAAAGATATGTAAATGTGTAGAGCAACCCTGTCTTACTTTGTCTATGTTGCTCATTCTCTCCCGGGTCCAGGCTTCATCCGTCACGATGTGCATACCCCCAAAAGGTTCTTCAGAGTCCAGGTGCTATAGGAATGGACCATGGCCCTGGACCCATATAGCACCCTGTGGCTAACTCAGTCGCTGCACCTTGTACCAAGGTAAACACCAAACACAAGATGAAGTTTCTGAAGCAACCATTACAGGCTGGCAGCACTGCTACATTTCCAAAGATGTACAATGAGGGTAACAGATGCTGAAACCATTAGTGAGCCATAAGGCAATAAGCAGTTAGATCCTAATAGAAATGTCAGTCAGAAAGGAAAGGAAAACCAATAAAAAAATAGAACAATAATCTTCTACAGCAGGAGAAGAGGTCCAAAACCTAACGACACTACTAAAAAGCTGGAGTTTCATGGAGTGGACAAAGTTAAATCGAGACACTGGGAGGCAGTTTCCAGCAAAATTTTTGCCCATGTCCAATCACCTGAAGGTACCAAGACCTATTGATCAATAATTGTGTCCTGTACAGTACAGTTAAGACAGGGGTGTTAAACTCAATCTCATCATGGGCCACACTAGCAATATGGTTGCCCTCAAGGGGCCGGTTGTATCTATAAGACTATACAAATTTATCCAGGGCTTTTTTTCCTCAGAGCATAGGGGTAGACACTCAACCCCCCCCCCCCCCCCCCAAACCACATTGAACAGTGGGAGGATCTTAAAGGAGCAATAAATAGGGCAATAAATACAAGGGGTGCGTTATGTGCGGAGTTCAGGGCATACTACATACATAGGGCAGAGTTCAGAGGTGCACTACGTACTGAGTGCAGGGTTCAGTAGTGCGCTGTGTACAGACTACAGGGTTGAGGAGTGTTTTACAGGGTTCAGTTCTCCTTAACAGTCTGTTCACATCTCACTTCCACCCCCTCCTTGGCTCTGAGCTCTGCATCACTCTTCCCCATCCCCCATCTCTGCACATATCTCCCTCCACAGCCATTATCTCTTCACCCACAAAAGCTCCCTCACATCTCACCTACCCGGCCTGGCTCTAGTACCTCCCAGCAGTGTAGAAGGCTCTGCCTCTCTCTCTCACGTGTAGGAAGATCATTGGTCGGCATATGTGCACCCAGGCACAGATGGGGATCACAGTGCAGCTTACCACGTGATGCCCCATCCCACATTGCACCTGCTTTTCCCTTGTCCCTGCTGTGAGTGCAAAAAAGGCAGGGATCTGTGAGAACCACCGAGAGGAAATCTTCCCTAGTAAATACAGAAGGCTTCAGTGTTTACATGTGACAGTGGTGACCGGAGGGGGAGAGTCGGAGTTGGCAAAATGTTATGCCAAGTTCCATCTGAAAAAATGCAAGGTTCTGGTGGGTTGGATTTGGCCCACGGGCCTTGTGTTTGACGCCTGTGTGTTGAGGTAAAAATGTTAAGAAACAGTTACTTGTTTTGATGTATAAAGGTTTAATTCCACTGTTTGGCCTCTCTCTGAGTATGGCACAGCATTTAATACCTCCAGAGAGTCAACTGGGAGATGCATGTTCCTGGCAGACTGGCATACAGGAAATAATGGCTTACAGGAAATAATAGTAGGTAGCTATCTAGTTTATGAATTTATTTGTTGCACAGGATTAGGTAATTATGTTCCTTGCAATTAGTGAATACTAGCCTAAGCTGCATACCTCAACACTTTTAGCTAGCCGTTTTCTGCTCTCCTCCTCTTCATTCCTCCTCTTTAAGTTATTAAGAGCTTCTTCTTGAAGTAATCTGGCACTATGCTCTTGTGTGTATAATCGTTGCGATTCATTGCGTTCTTCTTCAACCTGACAAAATAAGCAGGGACAGTTGTTAAAGTGGAAACTACATTGTATCTCTGTATCTGTGTTTAAATCTTTTTTATTCATGTTAAATAGTTTACAGATAGATATCCAAAAAACAGATTTGTACAAAACATTAAAAACTCGTACTCGCCATACAAAAAAAAAAACCCCAACAACAAACAAACATAGAAAAAAGTGTATGTCCTAAGTTCCCATTCTGTTTTCATAATCTCCTGCCTAGTTCCCCTTAAAAGAGAAAAAGGGGGACAGTAGGAGGGACGAAGGTCCTCTATATTGGAATGCTTAAAATATTAAAACATTACCTGGCCCTACCACTTACTCCCCATATCGTTTACACTCCCTTTTTCCCTTCCTCCCACTGTTTTCCAAACCTCCACCTATTACTTGTGTTGTAAGATTACAGGTCATCTCAATGTGATAATGATATTGATTACATTGTGAGAGAAGAAAAAAAAAAAAAAAGGTGAATTGTGTATAAATTTAAATATTCTCCCTATCATCCCAGCCTATCCTCCCTCTTACCTCTCTTCAGGCCCAAAATGGGCATTGTATGTTAACCAAACCAAACCAAAAACACCATTTATTATTATTATATATTTTAATATTAAAAGAAAATTCCCTCATCCATGTCTGCATTCTTTATTTTGTTAAGAAATCACTGTGAAAAACACCCCCCCCCCCCTAGCATTTCTGCCATATTGAGCAAGGGCAGATGATTTATAGCATTTACTTTCTGGAACCCATCTGCCCTTAGCCTAGGCATGCAGGCAGGAGGGTGTGCTTATCTAAGAAAATTCCTACTCCCCTCCTGAAGACTCCTGATATATGGGATATCATTTGCTAGGCCTGGAAACCAAGGAAGTAACCAAAGAAATGTAGAAAAAAAAAAACAAAACAAAAACATAAGGATTACAAACAGTTCATGTTGAGAATGTTGAGTGGAGATCTGCTTTAAAGAGCCTAGATAGCAAAATAATAAAAAAATAAATGTAGTAAAAACTTTAGGTTGACAGACATACTATCTCCTGATCCTTTTACAGACAATTTAAAAAACTTTTTATCATATTAAAATATTTCAATTTTGCTTGTTCTAATTCAGGGTTTCTAGTGATTACAGTTGGTGCTATTATCTACTTTAAGTATTTGCAGAGAAATACTATAGAAACCCAGGGATCTCTTGAAACACAGAAATCATAAACTGAAATGCTCAACTATGTTGACATCATCACTTTTTTTTTTTTTTTTTTAAATATAAATTATTTATTTCTAACTTTTGAAAGCAGTACATGTTGAGCCATGTATTACTCAGAGTTTCCGAGATATAATGGATACAGCTCAGTGAATAAAGTAGCAGTATGTGTAACTGCAAGCTACAAGAGTGCAACAAATACAACATTGTGGATGTGAGAAAGCAGTCAAACATGAGATTGCAATGCTCTAGCAGGGAATTGGGAGTTAGGGTGAACACTGTGCTTCAACTGCATCAGGGTATAAAAAAGCTTTATATTTTTTAACCACCTGACTGGAGTTTGCATGTTCTCCCTGTGCCTGTGTAGGTTGCGGGTACTCCGGTTTCCTCCCACACTCCAAAAGACATGCTGGTATGTTAATTGGATCCTGTCTAAATTGTCCCTAGTATGTGTATGTATGAATGTAAGTTAGGGACCTTAGATTGTACGCCCCTTGAGGGTTAGGGATTGATGTGAATGTGCAATATATATGTAAAGCGCTGCGGAAATTGACGGTGCTATATAAGTACCTTAAATAAATAAAATAATATGCTAGACACATATACAGGGCAAAGGCACGAGGGAAGCTAATGACTGGCAGAGTGGTCAGTAAGGCTACTTTCACACTGATCCTATTAAAAATATGGCAAAAAGGCATATGTGTTTTTACCACTTTTTTTTTTTACTGGACGTGACTGAAAAAATGCACCAAAAATGCACCGCAGGTGTATTTCAATGGGAAGGTGCCTTTTTTTACAGCACCAAACCTGCATCAAAAATGCAGCAAGCAAGATTTTAAAAAAAATGCACCTGTTCCACAACAGATCAGTGTGAAGAGTTCCATAGGAATACAAGGTAACATGTTTTTCTTCCTCTTTTTTTAAATGCAAAAGCAGAAGAAAAACAGATCACTGTGAAGGCAGCCTAAGGGAGGGTCTGTATATAGGGCCAAGAATACAATTTTTGGGAAAAGGGTCAGTACAGAAGGTCAGTTCCAGGTTTGGGGATTACAGGAAGGATTGTCAGGAAAAAATGGATAAGGGACTAGAGATTATCACATGTATAAAGCCACAGCCAAGTAAAAAAGGCTGCACTATCCTGCAAGGGACAAGGGATGATACAAAATAGGTTTGTGGTGCAATATACAGTACATAATAATTGCAAAAATCAAATTTTTCTTGTTATTATCAATGAGCTGTTGCTTCTATAAGATCTTTTCAATGTCAGCCGTAGACAAGACAATATGACTACTAGGAATGCTGGAACATTTCTCAAGGAATACTATGTAAACATGCATAAAATAGGTAGTAAATGTGACCATTTCACTGCTTAGTTACATTACATCTCTCATCTGTCAGAAACGTAAAGAAAGCTATCACAACTGTTTTACTTACATTTGCCACCTTTTAATGAAAATCTCCACACCTACTATAAAAGGGGGAATTTATCAAATCTGGAGCAGACAGAATGTTTGGATCAGCTCTGCATGGCAACCAATCAGCTTCTATATTCAGCTTGTTCAGTTAAGCTTTCAAAATGTAAGCTAGAAGCTGATTGGTTGACATGTATATCTGTTTCAGATTATGTCTACTCCAATTTTGAGAAATTCAAAGTGTTCCATGAATTTGTACCTGTTTCATGCTGTTCCTCAGGCTTCTCATTTCAAGCTCTAGATTTCTTAATGTTAGTTCCAGCTGTTGTTTTTCTTCTATTTCATGGCGACATTGTTCCTCCTTCCTTCTGAGCTGTTCTTTACTCAGGTCTTGTAGCATTTCTGCACTCTTTCTCTTTTCTTCTTCTTGTTTAAGAGAAGACCTACCACAACAGATATACAATAATTTAATGAAATGTTCTTTACAAGGATTATTACTATTGAAATCTTAAAAGACCTATATTTTGTTTCTGTCTTATCTATCTATGTAGTCCACTTAAAGGTGGAACATGGAAGGAAGAACAACTGCAACTGAGACTACAGTTGTCATTTCATAGAACAGATAAAAAAAAACAAGTATAACAATTACTCTTTATGTCACAAATAAGTTACAAAGATAAAAGAGGCCTGTGGGATAAGATTTATTAAATTGTTTGTAAACCCTCACATATACCCAGTAAGGTGACTGGCGTCAGGTGATACACAGAGATTATACAATTCCTCTTACATAGGTTGTACCTGTTTATCTACAGCAATCTTTCCCCTGCATCCTTTCAAAATGCAGAATTTACACAGGATCTCTCAGCTATGAAAATCTGGGGGTGGAGAGCTGAAGTAACATCTGTGAGGAGAGCTCTGAGAGCTGATTGGAAGCAAGGGACACCCCCCCTCTACACAGCTCACAGGAACAGAGCTGAGGCTGTCAATCTGCTGGAGGTCCCTCCACTGTCACCATTTTTCTCTTGGTGTCAGGAAAACTTGTCAGAAGTAATTCATGCTGATAGCAGAGGAACAAAGCAGCAGACAGAAACAACACTTAGTGCTCTGGATAGAGACAGGTACACACTATATATATATATATATATATATATATATATATATATATATATATATATATACAGTCATGGCCGAAATTGTTGGCACCCTTGATATTTTTCCTGAAAATCAAGTATTTCACACAAAAAAGGTATTGCATTAACACATGTTTTGCTATACACATGTTTATTCCCTTTGTATGTATTGGAACAAATATAAAACAGAGGCAGAAAAGCAAATATGACATAATGTCACACAAAACCCCAAAAATGGGCTGGACAAAAGTATTGGCACCCTTAACTTAATATTTGGTTGCACACCCTTTGGAAAACATAACTGAAATCAGTCGCTTCCTATAACCATCAATAAGCTTCTGACACCTCTCACCCGGAATTTTGGACCACTCTTCCTTTGCAAACAGCTCCAGGTCTCTCTTATTGGAAGGACACCTTTTCCCAACAGCAATTTTAAGATCTCTCCACAGGTGTTCAATGGGATTTAGATCTGGGCTCATTGCTGGCCACTTCAGAACTCTCCAGCGCTTCTTTGCCATCCATTTCTGAGTGCTTTTTGACGTATGTTTGGGGTCATTGTCCTGCTGGAAGACCCAGGATCTTGGACGCAAACCCAGCTTTCTGACACTGGGCCCTACAGTGCGACCCAAAATCCTTTGGTAATCCTCAGATTTCATGATGCCTTGCACACAGTCAAGGCACCCAGTGCCAGAGGCAGCAAAACAACCCCAAAACATCATTGAACCTCCACCATATTTTACCGTAGGTACTGTGTTTTGTTCTTTGTAGGCCTCATTCCGTTTTCGGTAAACAGTAGAATGATGTGCTTTACCGAAAAGCTCTATCTTGGTCTCATCTGTCCACAAGACGTTTTCCCAGAAGGCTTTTGGCTTACTCAAGTACATTTTGGCAAACTGTAGTCTTGCTTTTTTATGTCTCTGTGTCAGCAGTGGGGTCCTCCTGGGTCTCCTGCCATAGCGTTTCATTTCATTTAAATGTCGACGGATAGTTCGCGCTGACACTGATGCTCCCTGAGCCTGCAGGACAGCTTGAATGTCTTTGGAACATGTTTGGGGCTGCTTATCCACCATCCGGACTATTCTGCGTTGCAATCTTTCATCAATTTTCCTCATCCGTCCACGACCAGGGAGATTAGCTACAGTGCCATGGGTTGCAAACTTCTTGATAATGTTGCGCACTGTGGACAAAGGCAAATCTAGTTCTCTGGAGATGGACTTGTAACCTTGAGATTGTTGATATTTTGCCACAATTTTGGTTCTCAGGTCCTCAGACAGTTCTCGTCTCCTCTTTCTGTTGTCCATGCTTAGTGTGGCACAGACAGACACACAATGCAAAGGTTAAGTGAACGTCTCTCCTTTTTATCTGCTTTCAGGTGTGATTTCTATATTGCCCACACCTGTTACTTGCCCCAGGTGAGTTTACAGGAGCATCACATGCTTGTAACATTCTTATTTATCCGCAGTTGTGAAAGGGTGCCAATACTTTTGTCCAGCCCATTTTTGGAGGTTTGTGTGACATTATGTCGAATTTGCTTTCTTTCCTCCCTTTTTTTGTTTTGTCCCAATACACACAAAGGGAATAAACATGTGTATAGCAAAACATGTGTTAATGCAATACGTTTCGTGAGAAATACATGATTTCCTGGAGAAATATCAAGGGTGCCAACAATTTCGGCCATGACTGTATATGTGTGTGTTCATATTTCATGTCAGAGGTTTACAACCACTTTAAGAATGAAATTAAAAGAAGAGCTAGACTTTGGTCCTACACAGTACATTGTGTAGCACATTTCACACACACCGTACAGCAAGGTCTGTGCATCTAGGTGTGGGGATACAGCTATTACAATACATCCTCTATGGAGCAAATCACACATGCTGATGAAAACTGGGAAAATTAATTGTAAATATGAAGGACACATAACAAAGGTTAATACAAATCAATATTGATGATGAGTGCTTATTTGTAACAACTAAAGAATATGCAATTCTATCTCCAGTAAAGTTGCTTTTTCAGACCAAGTCAGGTACCCTTTGGAACACTGTAAAAAGGACTTAGGCTTATGATCTCCCCAAGTAAAGACATCTAAACATCATTTACAGATTTACATGCATTAAGTTTTTTGTCTGTTTCTCTACTCTTCAGCTATTTATCTCACAGGTTAATCTTGGCTACTGTTATTTTAAAAAGTAGCAGTACTTTCTTGGAAAAAAAGCAAATCATGAGACAGAATTATTCCCCTGCCTACAAAAAACAAACCAAAAAAAACCAAACAAACAAACGTCCAAGTACTCAATGAGCAAAGTATGGCTACAATGTAAAATGGCTGAATCTGTACCTATACTGCTGCCAGCACAGCATTACCTCCACCTGCAATAAAGGTTCAGAAACTGATACCCAATGATGGTCTCACCTTAAGCTGCTTACATCACTGTCCCATTCCACTTTGTTGTATTCCAACAAAGACTTAAGCTCTCTGTTTTTTTCTGTCATTTGCTGCATTTCTTTTCGTTCCTCACGCAGTTTTTTAACTTCTTTGGCCAGTAATGCATGTCGTCGGTTTTCTTTTTCTATTACCCGTTCATACTCATGAATAATATTTTGAATTTTCAACAAATTCACAGAATCTGAGCCATAAAAAATACAATGGTTATTCATTCACGCACGATTATCTGAAAAAATGACAACTGATCTGCCATCCATATTTCATGTTGTATTATATTCAAGCAATAGAAGTTTGAAAATAATGAAATCTGTTGGAATGATAAAAGACCAAGGTTTTTTTTTCAAAGCATTCAAAGCACCACTACTATGGTGTCAAAACAAAAGACAAGCATTATAAGCAGCACTATGAACAAAACTGATTTTAGTACACTAAGGCTAACTAATTTGTTAAATAACACAAAATAAGAGTTTATAAATATCTTTTATTCTACCAGCCCCTGTACGCCAAGAGAGAAGCCAGAGCTGCTATACTTCTCCCATCCCAGAGTCCAATGCCCATGACCTCTGGTGTTTGTTTACAACCAGAGCCACAAGTCTTCACTGTCCTGAAAGCGCTGGTAAATTGTAGACCCAAAGATGCACTGGCTCGAAATTGGAGACAAAGGGAAACAGTCATCTATAGAAGCCTATAGGGCTGTAATGCACAGGTGTGGTCAGGACAGCGAAGACATGAAGACTTGATTACAAATTTTAAAGTCATTTTAAAGTGCACTTATCCTTTAAGCACATACTCTGGATGCATGACAATGTGGTCATAGCCCCTAAGGGAGAATACTGTCAATGAGGGGGCCACAAGGAGGAGCAATGTACATGGAGCCCAGCATTGGGCTTTACAGATGTAATTAAAAGGCCAGCCCACCAAGGTACCTGACTGGACAAACTGCCTGCAGCACCCGCCCTCCCTTCACTATAGCCATAAATATGCAAGTTCATCTGCTGCAAATCTGCAAGTTTGTAGAATGATTGAGGTTAGATCAGTCATGAAACGCCAACTTTCATTTACTGCCTGATTCTTTAGACAAATCAGATTATTGCCAAATTGTCTGGCAGCAACAGCTATATATAATCAAAGAAAGTTTCCTACATTTAAAGATTTCTACAACTGTTACTGCATTGTCTACAGGTTACTTTTTAATTACCTTGGCCTTCGAGGTTAAGTTGCTCAATTAACAGCATGGCATTTCTAAATGCAGAGGTAGGGACTTCATATTCTTCAGTTACTGAATCTGATGATTGTGAAAAGTCATCCATATCCTCATCATCGTCCTAAAAAGTGAAAAAACAAATTTAGTTTCTTTATTTCCACTACTTACATACCAAGCATAAAACTTGCCTTGTAAAACATGTATGTATGTAAGATGTTGACATTAAAAACCATTTTCCGCTCTCTTTAAAACTCTAGGTAGTAAATTCTAGGTATTTTTTTTTCAACAATGCATTCTTTTATGAAGGTAAAAATCAACCCAGTGCCATTCTCTGGACCTGCGATCCATGCTCACAATCACTGGGTCCCCATTATCTGCACTGCTTCCCTGATCTTCTGGGTTGCAGAAAAGGGTACTGAAGGCAGCAGAGCGATAATCTCCTGCTGGCGTCAGTCAAACTTCTGAAAGGAATGAATGTGGTATAGCAAGCTGGGCATAGTGTGCGTCTTTAGAAGCACACAGCACCGGCTGGGAGTGCACACAAACAAATGGACTTGTCTTGGGGACAGGACAGAGGAAAAATAAAGAGAAAACATTAAAAATAAGAATACTACTAATATAAAAAGAGTTTAATATGTGACCCACAATCTCCTTCAGCAAAGTCAAACCCCAGCATGGTTTATTTAATCTAAGCAATTTTTGTCCACATTAGCTGCAAAGAAGCGTTTGTTTTTTTTGGGATAAACATCTCTTGTTCTGGGTCTCATTTATGAAAAATGGTGAAAAATTTGCTGCTGTTGTCCAAATTGAACAAGCAGGCCTCATACTTTGTCTCCTGAGAAGACTAGGATGGTAGCATGGTTGCTATGGACAAAAGAACCACTTCAATCCCTAATTGCTATCTGTACCATTTTTCATTATTTATGATTTCTGACCAATTTGATAGCAGATATTTCTGCTAATAGGTTAGATTTCTGGTTTCCTATGCCTCTGTGGTTATATTTTTCGCCCCAGCCAATACAAGGGGGACTCATTGTCTCTGCTGGATTTTTTATTATAATATGGTAAATGCACCTGGTAAATGCACCCTAAGATGGACAAAGCCAGAATTATAGCAAATGCAAATAATTATACCTTAGACTTTTCATCAACAGGTTTAGTGGCTGCCCTAAAATGGAAAAAAAAAGAAGAATAATGAATGCAGAAATACATTTCAGCTTGCACATCTCTAAATTATCTCTAGACTGTAAAATAACAGAATACACTTCTAAACAGTGTATAAACTTTAAAGAGAATATACATAGCACTAGTTATCATATAGCCTTCAGGATGTGGTGTAGCTGCATTAACCACTGAAAATTCTTTCTACAAAACTGACAGTAAAGCAACACTTCCAACCAGTGAGAAAAAAGTGTTTGGTATGCAGTATAAAACCCAGATTCCAGCTGTAATTCTACATGCACCTGCAGAATGAAAGCTACAAACTGGTGCCTGTAAGGCACCCATATATATATATATATATATCTTTTTGCACACTGCCTATACAAATGAACCTACTGGCCCCGTGTATGATGGATACGACCATAACCAAACTTTGTCAATATATTTGCAACAAAATCTCATCCTAACCCGTCTACAATTTCACCAAGCCCGTTGTGGTTCAAATATTGCTTGTCCAAGAAAAAAAATTACCTGAGCCTCAGATGAAACTGTCCTTCTCTGGTTGCTTACTTAATAAGATGTAGTGCTGGCAAGCACAGCAGTACTGAACAGCTCCCATTTATGCTCCCTAAACCAGAGGACACAAGTTTCTATTTGACGATAATAGTACATGCCTTCCTTCATGACACTGGTATCCCTTGATAACAGCATACAATGAGAAGCGCACATGCTGAAGAAAGGACGCCACAGATTTCCTGATGCAAAGTCTCTAACAAAGGTCAGTGTAAAAAAATCAGTCCTACAGAAATTCCCCTTTACCCTTTGCCAGGTTTCTGTGAGGTTTCGCTAAGTGAATGGTCATCAACTTCTTTTAGAGTATCTCCATTCTCTGTTTGCCTCTGTAGTTTAGAAATCTTCATATCATCTTGCTTTGGTACAGAGTGGATAGAATGTCTGGCATTTTTCCTAGAGTGAAAGCAAAAAAGGAGCTTGGTAAATTATTATGGAAACCTAAAGCTGGTTGCAGCCAACCTTCAGCTTTTACAACTACTTTACACCCCGGTCACAACAAAGCCGATTTTGAAATCGTGCGACTTACAGTGAAGTCGCACAATTTCAAAATCAGGTGACCTGCCGATTTCTTTGTGATTTGCAAGACATCTGACACAGATGTCTATGCAAATCGCAACAAAAGTAGTGCATGCACTACTTTAGAAATCGGTGCGGCTTCGACCAAGTCGAAACTGCACCGATATGATTGCTCTAATAGCGGACAATAGAGTGCAACTTGGCATACGATTTGCAAGTCACCTGGCATGCAAATCGCATGCCAAATCGCACCCGATGTGACCGGGGGCTTAAGCAAGAGACAAAAGAATGAAAGCAGAATTCCATAACATTTAAACAGTTGCAGCAACATTTCTTTTTGTTTTAAAAGCTGACAACCTCTACAACTTCCACTTTTGCTGGACAGCTTTGCCTGTTAAATAAAGAGGACAATGAACAGGTCTAGTAGCAAGACCAACAAGTAAACTATGTTATGGGGGGGACTAAGAAAAACAAAACATGTATACAACTGAATGACAGGAAGTAGAGCCAAGTTTGAGTTTGAGACAGGCTTTAATAAAGCTCTACAAATAGCAAACCAAACGAAACAGAATTATCAAGCTTCTTGTATTTCATTGGAAAACACATTCTGCAAAGCAAATATACAGACACACACACTGCAATCTTTTGGATCAATCAAAAATATAAAAAGTAGGACAAATAAATAAATAAAAAAATTATATATATATATATATATATATATATATATATATATATATATATATATATATATACAGTGGGGATCGAAAGTTTGGGCACCCCAGCTAAAAATTTGTATTAATGTGCATAAAGAAGCCAAGGAAAGATGGAAAAATCTCCAAAGGGCATCAAATTACAGATTAGACATTCTTATAATATGTCAACAAAAGTTAGATTTTATTTCCATCATTTACACTTTCAAAATAACAGAAAACAAAAAAATGGCGTCTGCAAAAGTTTGGGCACCCTGCAGAATTTATAGCATGCACTGCCCCCTTTGCCAAGCTGAGACCTGCCAGTGTCATGGATTGTTCTCAATCATCGTCTGGGAAGACCAGGTTATGTCAATCTCAAAGGTTTTAAATGCCCAGACTCATCTGACCTTGCCCCAACAATCAGCACCATGGGTTCTTCTAAGCAGTTGTCTAGAAAACTGAAACTGAAAATAGTTGACGCTCACAAAGCTGGAGAAGGCTATAAGAAGATAGCAAAGCGTTTTCAGATGTCATTATCCTCTGTTCGGAATGTAATTAAGAAATGGCAGTCATCAGGAACAGTGGAAGTTAAAGCAAGATCTGGAAGACCAAGAAAAATATCAGACAGAACAGCTCGCAGGATTGTGAAAAAAACAATTCAAAACCCACGTTTGACTGCACGATCCCTCCAGAAAGATCTGGCAGACACTGGAGTTGTGGTACACTATTCCACTATAAAGAGATACTTGTACAAATATGGTCTTCATGGAAGAGTCATCAGAAGAAAACCTCTTCTACGTCCTCACCACAAAAATCATCGTTTGAACTTTGCAAATGAACATATAGACAAGCCTGATGCATTTTGGAAAGAAGTTCTGTGGACCAATGAGGTTAAAATTGAACTTTTTGGCTGGAATGAGCAAAGGTACGTTTGGAGAAGAAGGGGCACAGAATTTAATGAAAAGAACCTCTGTCCAACTGTTAAGCATGGGGTTGGATCAATCATGCTTTGGGGTGTGTTGCAGCCAGTGGCACAGGGAACACCTCACGAGTAGAAGGAAAAATGGATTCAATAAAATTTCAGCAAATTTTGGATGGTAACTTGATGCCATCTGTGAAAAAGCTGAAGTTAAAGAGAGGATGGCTTCTACAAATGGATAATGATCCTAAACACACCTCGAAATCCACGGGGGATTACATCAAGAGGCGTAAACTGAAGGTTTTGCCATGGCCTTCACAATCTCCTGACCTCAACATAATTGAAAATCTATGGATAGACCTTAAAAGAGCAGTGCGTGACAGACAGCCCAGAAATCTCAAAGAACTGGAAGACTTTTGTAAGGAAGAATGGGCAAAGATACCTCAAACAAGAATTGAAAGACTCTTGGCTGGCTACAAAAAGCGTTTACAAGCTGTGATACTTGGCAAAGGGGGCAGTGCATGCTATAAATTCTGCAGGGTGCCCAAACTTTTGCAGACGCCATTTTTTTTTGTTTTCTGTTATTTTGAAAGTGTAAATGATGGAAATAAAATCTAACTTTTGTTGACATATTATAAGAATGTCTAATCTGTAATTTGATGCCTTTTGGAGATTTTTTCCATCTTTCCTTGGCTTCTTTATGCACATTAATACAAATTTTTAGCTGGGGTGCCCAAACTTTCGATCCCCACTGTATATATATATAGGAAACCCTAAAAGATTGGAAACTTCAGTAAGATCCTCCTACATATCCACTTACCCTTCATGGGAGCTGGATTCTGATGTACTTTTTGGTTGAATATGTGATTTTCCTTGAAGCTCACACTCAATGTCACTGCTTCTTTTTGATTTTTGCAGATCCAGTTGTTTGTTTATATTAGTCTTTTCTCGCTCAACCTGCAAGAAGACAAATTAAAGAAATGACGAATACCATTTGCAGTCCACTATACACATGCATCTACTAAAATGAATGCAAAGTGAAGCACACACACACAACATTAGGACAATGGGATTTAGCATTTATTTTGAATTAATGAGAATTATCAGAACACAATAAAGCCTGGTTAACAAGAGGAAAATGAAAATAATTATGATTCACAATTAGATTACAGCATTAAAGATGAGGCTAAGACAATGTAATTGAAGAACACACCACAGCAGAAGGACAGTGGAATGATGATGGACTTAAGGTAAAGATGAGAACCAGTATATATCCACAGTGCGGGGTCCCTTGATTTTTTTTTTTTTTTTTTTACACACAGGGCAACAGAGCTGAACATTATTTTTTTTAATGTTCAGAAAGAAGCAAAGAAATAGGGCCTGAAGAATGCACACCTCTACCTCTTTTTGCAGTTGTGATCTCTCTCTTGTCAAATTCAGGAATTCCAATTGTAGCACTCCTACCTCATTCTTAAATTTTCTCATATCTTGTTCCATTTGCTTATCCAAGATCTTATTAGGTGTATCAAAAGACAAGGGCTGCAGCAAATGTTCTTCCAGCTGATGATGACTGTCTATAACCTTCTGATTGTAACCTTTAGATTGGTGTACATCACTTTCCTTTCTATTCACACAATCAACTTTGTCTTTAGCTTGAAATGATGCATTGCCCAAATTTTCAAAGTCTGGATTGAAAAAACTCTTCCCTACAACTTTGGTCGATAATGCGGATAGATGTCCTACATTCTTCTTGATAGGAAAGTTAGAAACTCCAACAGTAAAAGATTGCTTTTCTTTATTTTGAAGATTTCTGTGGTTTGAACCTTTCTCACCATGGTTAGGTCTAACCATAAATCGATCCTGCATTTTGCTTTTTGTGTCTTCACTCCAGTCAGTTGACTCACTATTACCAAGACTCTTATCATCAGCACTAACTGGATACATAACAATACTGGTTGAAGTTTTAGTTCCTTGTCCAGGGCAATTTCCTAAATCCTGAGAGCTAGGGGAGCTCTGCTCTACCTGACTTTTACTAGTCTTGAAAGGACTTTTCTTTATTTTAGATATTTCCCCAAATTTCTGTTTTAGCTCTGCAGTAATGTCTTTAAAATGAGATTTCACGTCCTTTTTTTCATGGTCAACCCACATTTTTTCATATTTTTCCTCCCAAGGAAGTTCTGAGTCAGAGGAATCCTGTTCTTTGTCAACATTTCGCATGACAGGCAGCTTTTCAAGTGGCTGTTGGGAAATCACCTCCTGATTGACTGGCTCAGGTTTCACTTTAAAGTTGGACGTCATTAATATATGCTCATTCTCCATTACATAAAGGAATACAAAACAATTAACAACAAAATGTTACACGCTTATACATTTATGGAAACAAAATCACTAAACAGTACATATTACATGAGATTTAAAGATATCAGTTTTCAGTGATAGAAGGCCATGGTGGCCATGATAGAAAAACAAGGTGTCTTCAAGAGCACAGAAAATACTATGTATACCCTATCTAAATCAGGTTTCTGGTGCGTGGGTAAGTAAATGACAAATTACTGTGATGCCAGAATGCCAAAGAGAAGCATCTTAAGTGGGTTACTTAGTGCTCACACAATTTGTATTTCTTTTACAACCACAATTCCCAAAAAGTTGAGGCACTGTGTAAAATCTACATAAAACCAGAATGCAATGATTTGCAAATCTCATATGAAAATGTGTACACAAAAAGAAAAATGGACCCTAGTGAAGCCACTGATGACACAATGCTCGAATCAAGAGCACCTGGATGAGTTTGCTATGCAAAGTGAAATGAAGAAAGCCTGCCCTAGCAGGGTAATGGCCACCGGCTAAAGACTGTTGCTTGCCAAACTTCCTCAATCAAGGCGTAGTAACTAGTGCAATATTGTAAAGCAATGGTATGAAGTATAACAATATTAAAACTACAAAGAATACTGAGTGGGTAACCCAAAACTAGACAAAGGTTTGCTACGATAACTAGATGGACACTGCAGCTTGTGGATCAGGAGGGGATACTCAGTCTGTGATTCATAAAGGGAAGAGAGTGCAAGCGCAAAGGCCATCATGGTGCAGTAATTCAAATCCAACAATTTATTTAAACAAGATAAATTTCACTAACAAGAGTAACCAACTGGCAGATCGCGAAAGTGGGTACTGCAGCAGCGAAATACAGCGACATCAGGGAGGAGTAACGCCACATCTGACATGGCTTGGGGATGCTGAAGGCACTGGGTAACACTGTGTGCAATATGAGACTTGTCCATTTAACTAGGATACAGTTGCAAGGACAGGAATTTCCCATGTCTGATGTCACTCCTGGAGTATGCACAGTCAGGACGCGTTTTGAGGCATGTGTGCCTCCTCGTCAGCGTGACTGCTAGGAGGCAATCCACTCATATATAAGGAAATTACCCATTTAGCTTGCCAGATCGGATCCCATGGTGGTTGGAGGAAAAGCAACAACACATACAGGAACCCCAAGGGATCGCCAAAGGAAAGACATGCCTGAACGAAGACCCTGGTGGCAGAGGATGGAAAAATTACACGATCTGACGGCACTCAATGAAGTACACCCTGAGAGTGCAAAGACATCAAAAGGAGTTGGAAAGTGCTTATGGAGGATGATAATAAATTAATTAAAATATCACAAATAGAAGCTTATGTAAGCTGAACCAACCAGGGTAAAAATTGATCAATGTAATGTAGTGTCTCAATACAATATATTGCATATTTTTATGCTCTGTTATTTCCTTTATCAGTTGGTTAATAAAAAATATGATATTAAATTAATTAAAATGCCTCTAATATTTAACTAATAAAAATACCTCTATGCGTATGGTACTTAAAAGAATTCATATGTATATAAAAAATTCAATATAGAAAAGAAATAATAATGAAAGAATATATAATAGTACATACTGATTCATAAATCAACCCGGGGCAATGTATAATATGAGGAATTTAAAAGATAAATAAAAAACTATATTGCGGATGAGCAAATAAATAGACCAATGAAAGTATCTCTCTATGTAAAACCCTGTGGGGGTAACGTGCATCCTCAACAGGATCAGAGCATATCTAAGCATATGTGACACCTTAATAAAATCCAATATTGGACTGGCAGATATTGAAAGACAGTGAAAATTATAAATCCAAAGCAATTAGTAAATAAATGACTGTACATCTCAGGAAAGAGACAATAAGTCAAAGGATGATGAAAATTATGTATAAAAACTATACATGTGTGCATGAAGGAGAGACATATGGGCCTGCACAAGACTACATTAAGGTCCTACATGAGGTAACCAGAGACTTTTAAGGAACCCAAAGTGGGGGTGGAACGTCAATGGAGTGAAACTATGGAGGACATGGACATATGAAATGTATGGTCCCGAAGTGTGGAGATCCACAATATAAACCTGGGGGAATACTTCAGTGGGAACTATGACCTAGAGAATAGTTTGAACTTCTAGTTCGCACTGAGGCCACCTGGGGATAAGGTTGTCCAGTTTAAATATCCAGCAAATTTTTCTAGCACATGAAGTATAGAAGTGTTCACCCTCAGGTAAGCTAGCCGAAATGGACTCAATGACACATACCCTGAGACAACTGGGGATCTGTATCATAAATCTCATAAACCCATATTTTTTTCACAATCGAAAACATATCACGTTTCAACTGAGAAAATGTACCATAAAAAGAAAAAATAAAGCATCCATGAAATTGATGGCAGCAACAAAATTTGAGAGAGTTGGGGCAGGGCAACAAAAAGCTGGCAAAATAAGTGGTACTAACAAGGAAGAGCTGGAAAAACATTTTGCAACTAAATAGGTTAAATGGCAACAGGTCAGTAACATGATTGTGTATAAAAAGAACATCTTTGAGCCCTGGTTCACACTAATGCGGTGCGGGAAACGCAACGAATCCTGTGCATTTCCAGCACCGCATTGCAATCGCAAGGCATCCATGCAATCTGGTATGGGTGTCAATGTTAAATTAACAACACCCCCGAAACAGACTGCAAAATGCAGTGCAATTAGTAGAATTCGTATTTAAAATGGGTGTTCACACCCCTGCAATGCAAATCTGGTGCGGGAAAAAAGGGTCCTGCACCTTTTTGGTGCGGATGCGATTGGAGCCAAAATGTATGGCTCAAATCGCATTGCACAGACATTGCATGTGATTTTCACAGGAATGCGGTGCGGTTCCTGTGCGACTCATATGCGATGTGCCGCACCACATCAGTGTGAACCAGGGCTAAGAGTCAAAGTGTCTGAGAAGTAAAGATGGGCAGAGGTTCACCAATTTTGTGAAAACCTATTTCTAAAATTTGTCAAACAATTTCAGAATAATGTTCCTCAGTGTAAAATTGCAAAGACTTTAAATACACTGATTAAAAAGTGTTCCTTTATTTTTTTTTAATCAGAGTATAGCATCAAGTCAATTAAACTCCTAGGATATCTGGTCAGTTAAGTAGCAGAGGGGGTTGTTAATCAGATTCAGCTGCTTTGGTGTTAATGAAATTAACAGGTGAACTAGATGTGCAACAATGAAATGACCCCCAAAACAAGAATGATTTTACAGGTGGAGGCCACTGACATTTTTATCCTACTCCTCTTTCCTGACTGTTTTTCACTAGTTTTGCATTTGGCTAGGGTCAGTGTCACTACTGGTAGCATGAGGCAATACCTGGACCCTACAGAGGTTGCACAGGCAGTCCAACTCCTACAGGATGGCACATCCAATATGTTCCATTGCCAAAAGGTTTTCTGCATCTCCCAGCACAGTCTCAAGAGCATGGAGGAGATTCCAGAAGACAGGTAGGTACTCTAAGAGAGCTGGACAGGGCCGTAGAAGGTCCATAACCCATCAGCAGAACCGGTATCTGCTCATTTGTGCAAAGAGGAAAAGGATGAGCACTGCCAGAGCCCGACAAACCTCCAGCAGGCCACTGGTGTGAATGTCTCTCTAACCAAACAATCAAAAACAGACTTCATGAGGGTAGCCTGAGGGCCCGACGTCCTCTAGTGGGCCGTGTGATCACTGCCCAGCACCATAAAGCATTGGCAGGCCCATCACTGGCACCCTGTCCTTTTCACAGAGGAGAGAAGGTTCACCCTGAGCACATGTGGGTCTGGAGAAGCCGTGGAGAACATTACACTACCTGTGACATCATTCAGCATGACCGTTTTCGTGGTGGGTCAGTGATGGTCTGGGGAGGCATATCCATGAAGAGACTCACAGACCTCTACAGGCTAGATAATGGCACCTGGACTGCCATTAGTTATCGGGATGAAATCCTTGGACCCATTGTTAGACCCTACACTGGTGCATTGGGTCCTGGGTTCCTCCTGGTGCACAACAATGCCCGGTCTCATATGGCGAGAGTATGCAGGCAGTTCCTGGAGGATGAAAAAAATTGATACAATTGAATGGCCCCCATGCTCGCCTGACCTAAATCCCATAGAACACCTTTGGGATATCATGTTTCGGTCCATCTGACGCCACCAAATTGTACCTCAGACTGTACAGGAGCTCAGTGATGCCCTGGTCCAGATCTGGGAGGACATAACTCAGGATACCATCCACCGTCTCATTAGGAGCATGCCCCGACATTGTCAGGCATGCATACAAGCATGTGGGGGCCATACAAACTGCTCAGTACCATTTTGAGTTGCTGCAATGAAATTTCAGCAAAAAGG